CTTCTACGACTTCTACGTCGTAAATTCTCATGACGTTTCACAACTGCATCTGCTGCAAGCAGGGCTATCTTACAAAAAGGAAAGAAAAGGGAAGGAGGGGGAAGGGAGAGAGAGAAAAAATCTCTTTGCCTAAGTGGACAGACCTCAAAACATAAAGAACAAATTACAGAGAACAAGCAACGCGGCTGTGTCATCGTTCGAGCCGGACGGAGTATTTCGGATTACGGCTTGGATCGTCGTAAACGCTAGACTTGAAAAAAAGGCGTCAGTTTTTAAATGTACAAGTTATAGGAAGCTTGGTGGTACGATGTAATGTAAAAACAGAAAAGTTTCTATGTCAAGAAAGACCTCGAGAGAAGCAAGGCCCTCCTTGTCTTCTCAGCTTATGAACAGCAGTCATGTGCCTGGTAGTCAAATAGATTGTCTAAGCAACCTTACCTATAAAGAAAGGCGTCCTTTAGTACGCTGAAGTAGTCTGGCAACAAAAATCAACAGCGAAGGGAAAATACAGGATCCAAGTCAGAAATTCTTGGGCAGATTCGTGGTTCACGCACAGCCTTAGAAAAATGACAACGTCCGATGAAGTAACCGCTCGATCATTACCGTAAGTCCCTGACTGTTACAGAAGATTAAAATGAATAACTGGACTACATGGGAGTTATGAAAGAGTTTGTATTTTATACACAGAATATGTACACTGGTTTTGGACGTGTGGGTTTTTATCCATGCAAATTCCATACAAAACTATTTACAAAAAATAACAGTAGGATTGTTTTTTAAAGAAACATATACATGTTGGAAGCTCCAGCAATAATGGAAGTTCTGAGAAAAGACTTAAGATACATTATCATACAAATAGATGACCTTCAAAAAGGAGGAAAATGCCGTTTACAGAACATGAAATGTGGAATGACTTAAAATGCAATATCAAACAAGTTGTTCAAATATTTACAGCTTAATCACCTGGTTCTTCTTATATCATCACTTCCAAATATCTGTCTCAGAACTACGGCGTCAATCTTGGACACGTGTACATGTTGCTGATTTGGTTCGATTGTTTTTTTTTTTTTCTGAGTTTCAGAAATCACAAGAAAAGGTGCAAAGGAAAAGTATCTGATAATTTAACATGTGTTTTATGCAATCACATCTTCCTGATTCTACATAATTGCACAATAGTTCAAAGTTATTCACATTAATCTCAACAAAATTCACCAGACAATCCCTTTACAAAGCCTGTGCATGTGATACACAGATGGTACAAACATCTGCATGTACTGTAGATGCAACAAATGAACAGTGGCAAGACGGAAACTCCCGTGGGTTTGGCAATGCTCACCGCAGTTACAAGGGTCAGTAAATAAAACTGCCCTAGTACTTACAAGCAACAGGCTCCATCCTGCAGGCCCTCTGCAAGCAGCACGGACGCCCAGTGACAGGCGCCCATGCGTGCCGCGCTGGGGCGTCCCGGCCCCGAACCAAAATCTGCATCCTGGGCAGATGTCACCGATTCAGCCACATCGCAAAAACAAATGAAGAACACCGCAGGCTTTGGTGCTTCCCGGCAAGTACCAGATTTTTCACAATGTGGCATCATGAAATTACTACCACTGGGGGATAACCCTGACGTCTGCCTGACTGTGCAAGGACTCTTAAATAAGAAAAGGAAATGCTCAAGTGCCAATAGATCATTTTAAGTGGCTCACTGCTGGACACTGCAGATCAATTATAAACACACCGAGGGGAAATCCTGGTTCCACAGAAGTTAATGCTACTTTCCCCACAATTTTTTGTAGGTTCCCAAAAGTTACTAAGTGCTAAAAGGAGTTGGTCATTAGGGTTGAATTGTGAGAAGGGGAGGTTTGAAGTGCTTTTTAAAGATGAGGATGCTGAAGCCATGAAAAAAGTTGCACTTAATAAATAGCTCGTTTCAAATATCTTCAATTTTACTTGATTACAAAACATTTCAAACATTTTATGCCAACTGATGCATCGTGGCTGTTACTGTGTCCGTTGCTCCTGACCGGCGAGGCTGTATCTAGGTGATTTTACAGTAATTTTCTTTCCCTCTATTTAACAAAGTAAGCAGAGTAAAAGCAGCTGAAGGAAATGACCCTGAAATCTGGTGTAACATAAAAATACAACTTAAAACGGTGTTAATCATAAACGATCTACTGAAAACATTTCAAAACTGAAGGGAAAAAAAAAAATCAACAGATCTCCCCATTCTACCATGTTACAAAAAAATCCGCAGCATTATTCCTGTGCTATGGACAACTGAAACTGGGATTAAATCACGAAGAAATCTCTATTTTAACACAGGGCCAGTACAAAGACAACTGTTTCTAGGGGCTGTGATATTTTTTCGTCTGCTTACGTCACCAGAAGAACGATGCCATAAAATGTTCTGTTTTAAGAAAATACTCATTGGGGCGTGCCACAGCTTTTCTCCACCTCTGAAAGGGCGCTGTGTACCACACTTCAATGCAAGCTGCATATAAATGGTGAGAAGGGATGAGTGACAACCAACTACTGCACAGTACGTTGGAGGTCAAGCAGTCATCTTGAAGCAGGTGTCCTTCCAGCACCACGCGCTCGCCAAAAGGAGCGTTTCTCCTGGAAGTCCAGTTACAGCACAGCGATTTGGGTGAAAATTAGGCATTGCCAAAAGTCCGCTCACCCACGACTCTTCTGAAAGAACTATTCTCATCTTCTCCAACAGATTTTTCCTAGAAGGCCAAAGCTTTACGTACCCGAACTCTGCAAACTATCTAAGAGAAGGCAGTCAGGTCTGATGCTGCACAAGAGGGTTTGGGTTTGCCCGGACACAACCTCCCCTAGCCCCCTCACTGCTTACAGCAACGCGGCCTGCGGGCAAGATGCTGCGGATACGAGCTCTCGTTGCTGGCACAGCGTAATGCTCAGGAAGGAGGTGAGAAGGGGATGGTCAGAGGAGGACAGGAACATCCTTCTCTGGGTGTGCAACAGGGAGGGAAGACAGCCGCTGCACCTCACCCTGAGTCTCAGCTCCGACCCCAAGCTCCTTCGGTACCCATCATCGCACAAACGCCGAGAGAGGAAGGGGAAGGGTACCAGGAGCTCTCTGCAAGACTGCAGTCAACAGCCTTTGGGAAGCTGGTAAAGCCAGCTGTTTTCTCAGCCTGGCCTGTCAAGGGAAACACGAATCTTAGGAAGCCGTAACAAGGAGCTGCTCTTCGCACCCCCCGTCCCCAAAGCTGTGCAGCGATACAAGCCACCCACGGTTTTCTTTACCATCTCTCCAGCACGCTAATTTGCCTCCCAAGTGAGATGGTACGGACAAAGCCAGCGCCAGCTCCCTCGGGGCACTGGCTGCACTCGAACGCTGCACGCACTCGCTCCAACGCGGCTCACTGGATCTGCCTGTGCGACTTCACGTAAAAGTGCTCCTCCTTTCATTTAAATAAATCACGTGGAAATCAAAGACGTTTCCCACTGGAGGCTGTTGAAAGGGAAGGGCTAGTATTTCACATAATACGCCTGTCAAAAAGGGACACTGGTGTGGCCAGGTAAGGAGAATCAGCACAGCTGTTTTACACCAACGCAGAGTAATCTCTCAAAGGGAGCGAGCGTCAAAAACCTAGTACAGACGTCTCCTGAAAATATCAGCTGGAATCCACTGTCAAGAGATTTTAAGTACAGTAGATCGGACTGTGATAAAACAGGATTTTTAAAGAGTGAAACCTCAACGGTTTTGTCAGTCACTAAGTTCTAAAAAACGTGTCAAAAAGTGACAATTTGGTCAAGTTTCCTCCAAAACTTCAAGTTCACCAATCACAAAGCTTCATCGCTGCCTTGGCATGCCGATTTATTTGGGGGCGAGGACTAGGATAAAATGCACACCCTATACTACACGCTAGCATTATTACTACAAGGAGAAGTCAGAGGCTGGCATTCATTTGCATCTGCTTTGCCTGCATGGTCCTTATAAGGTTTGAAATTATGTATTTCAATGCACCGTCTTAAATGCGGGGGAGAAACGTGGATCACAATGAAGACAACCCCTATCTTGGCAAAAACACATTCAAGACTGAACACGTTTATGGCTTGAATTTGGCCCCTGCGTTTGCTCAAAACTTGGGAAAGAAGAGCTGCCCCCACGTCATATCATAATTAATAGAAATAGTTTTCAGTCCCGCAAAAGAGCTGCTGGTAGTTCTCCCCCTCACCATTTACTAAAGCTGTTTAGCTGGAGTATGAAGGTTGAGCTTCTGCAGGGGTTTGTCTCTTACCCTCCACGCTGCATATGGCACATAACATCTTAAAGCATTTACTAAATAAAGGTAGAAGTATACCTATTTTAGGATTCCCTGAGGCTGACCAAACATGAATAACTCGGTACTTTTTATAAAACAGCCTAATTTACGGTGGCATTAGCTAAAAAGTGCTACTGGAGACTTCTACACCCAGGGTCATCACATCTGACAAAGCCTAGTTCTGATCTCAAGTGCCCGTACCTTCCGGTTTCCTTATATAAATGGCAGGGTGAAATCCTGCCCCAGCGCAGTCAGTAACACAACTTCAACTGACTTCTCGATAAAACCAGGATTTTGCTCAGAATCACTTCTGATTCATGTCATAGTTAAACTCTTGCAACTAATTTCTCAATCTGCTCCTGAATTTTGTGTAGCATTTTAGGGACTTAGCTACATTACGGGAAAGCTTTGGAAATCTGGACACAGCTGAGGCTGACTGTCTGCTATGCCCAAAGTCACAAGTCTAATTAGTCTAGCTCTAGCCTTTAATTATTTGTGTATAAACAAATAGGACAACTCAGTAACTGCATCTCTGAGACCGTTCCAAGTCACTCAGCCATCCACTGAGCACTTTAATGCCACTATTTAACACTTGCTGGGTGCATCTACATGTGCATTAATGCACTTTAGTTAATGCACATTAAATCTAGTACCTCCATTGTGAGGTACTAGGAAAATGTGCATTAGCCTATCTTAATGCAATTAACTAAGAGCACGGGTATTTTTACACATGCAAGTGCCGCAGTGCCAGGCACTTTGAAAAGCACCCGGCGCTGCGACGCTCACAGTTGTATAAGCAGCGAAGCGTGCATCAGTGATGAGAAAATGGCGGCGGCACGCTCTTGATCTAAACTGCATCAAAAGCACTCCACTGCCATTTTCTGAGTGCCGATGCACATTTTGCCACTCATACAACCGCATGCAGCACAGTCCGCTCCGAAGCGGTGGATCTCCCATGCATCGCAGGACAAAAAGATACGTGTATAAATGCTCCAGAGTTTAAGTGATGCTTAATGCGCGCCAGCCTATTTTAATGTGCATTAACTAAATAAATTTTTTTCCAGTGATGCTTTAATGTGCATTAAAACAGGCTAATGCACATTAAAGTGCATGTGTAGACGCACCCTCCATTCTGAGGTCCTAGGAAAATGCGCATTGGCTTATCTCAATGTGCATTAACTAAAGAGCACAGTTTTTCACTGACACCTAATGCGCATTAACAAGACAGGACTTTTTAAAGTGACGATTTAACGTGCATTAAAATAGGCTAATGTGCATTAAAGCGCACGTGTAGACATGCCTGCTGAAGGCATCTAGGCAAGACGTACTGTACTGCTCAAAGAAAAGGACACTCCCATGGGACACACTGCACCCACCAAAACATCCTGAACCTATACAGGAGAATATTCCACTTCTCCGCACCCCACCCGAGGAAATATCTTGGTACGTTCAGTCGCACAGAAACGAGTCAAATGCACCAGGCCATAGCTTTACCTGACTGCAGTCACCCTGATTAAGGGGCTTGGTACTGAAGAACTCTAGCTCCTGGAACAGATCAATAATCCAAACTCGAGGGAGATTTCCAAAAATTCTTACTCTTGGCCTAACCCTGCTCCCAACCAACTCGGGGAAAAAACTGCAATAAGCTGCAACAGGAGCCACTGCTGTGCACTTCTGAAGCCCCCACACAGCCAGGCCAAACTCTGAGTAACTGCACGACGTCCTAAATGAAATGGAAACCCCAGAGCTCACCTAAGGAGAGGCAAGGTATTGCCTGCACTTCAGTAAATGCCACAGAGCAGTTTCCCACAAGTAAAGGGAAGGAGGGTCTCCTGAGGTCATCAGAAGGCAAAAACATATAAGAAAATGACTGATGGCTCTTCATAAGACTGGAGACTCTAAGGAACAGCACTTTAAATATACATACAAAACCTCACTACCACAGTTCTCGCATCTTCCCACGGCCGCTCTCCTCTGGGAGCCGGCACTGCTAATCACAGGCATCACGCACGGTTTCCTGTGCATGTCTTTGCTTTCGGCATGAAAATCCAGGGCTCACTTGAGATAGATCCAGTGATCCTGGCCGTTCATTTGCTCGCTGGGGCTGCAGGTGTGGGGTTTCTATTGAATGCTGTTGGGGGTGCTGGTTGTAGCTGTGTTGGTCTAAGAACATAGGCAGACAACCAAGACCCCCTCACATTTACCCAAATAAGCTTGTCTACCTATTGCATGCTGTGGCAGGGACAGGGAAGGGGAGCATGCCGAGGAGTCGAGTCCTCCGGGGGGGGGTGGGAACTGACCCCTTAAACACTGGAGCTGCACAAACTCCTTTCCAATCTCGTCAGCAGCTGCAGCCAAAACAGCAGCATGGGGATGCAGCTAATTTCAGAATGGCTCTACAAAACCCATACTAAATTAGTGCGGTTAGCGGAGATGAGAGCTGTCTAGACGTGGGGGTCCTCTCCCCAGAGATTCCCAGGCTCGCGCTCTCAGACATCCTAGAAAGCCACAACATTTTTACCATGGTGAAGCAGGAAATGCTGGAGGAACAACTTTGGCTTACGTGCCACATCTTGCCTCATCCAGTGGGCTCTTCCTGCCAGGACATGACATAGGGCCAGAATCGTATCTGCAGACAGCGGGCAGGCAAGGCCACTTGCAGAATAGTCATGAAGATGCTACTTCTAAAAAAATTAACTGATAGCCTTAGGCAACATTAACTGGCATTTTACTGTTTATCACACATATAGGGAGATAATCCACAATGACTTCATGTTTAAATTTCTTTTCCAAGTCATTTTTTAAAATACTTACAGAAATATGCACTAACTTTTACATAATTGTTAAACAACTGGCACACAACACAGAGCCAGACTTTTTAATTTTTCCCTGTGGGCATAAACTTCTATCATCTTCTGCTACATGATGACTGGGAAATCAAGCGATCAACAAAACAGTTCATTCGAAGGGGTGCCAAGTGCAAGGTTCAGTGACCTGAGCAAGATTTACAGGGGAAATATTGGTCCAGCAAAAAAATAAATAAAAGACCGGTGGAAATATTTAAAGCACAAGAGTCCGATGCTTATGCCGTCACAGTCCAAATCAGATAAGCAACCAGCAAGCCCATGGCTAACATACTGGAACAGAAACTCGTACGCTCGTTGTCCAGAGGGCAAGAGCTGCTATACAATATATTTTCTCTTTTGAACGATAAACTAATTCTTCAGCTACTCCAAAGTAGCATGTACAATAAAACAAAAGGCTCCTTATCAAACTAAGCTTGGCTTGTTCTTTTTAAAAAACTGAACTAATTATGTTCCATTTACATGAAATGAGAACAACTTTACTGATACATTTTTAAGAGAGCTCATTTTCAAAATAATTTAAGGTAAACGGTTAAAATTAATTTATTCAGAGAAAGGATAAATAAGGGTACTTATTTTAGTGGCTGATATTACACTGAGACTATTTCATTTTCCCCATTCGACTACATGCTTAGCTGATATTTTAAATGTATTGTTATATCTATAATTTTGCAGAGGGCACGAGTTTTTTCAGTGAGCCATACTTTTGAGAACTATGCTGTATTTACAATAGCATATTTTAATTATAGCACATAAATCACTTTTATTTCAACAGATTTCAGTTCAACAAAGTCTTAGAATAACGTAACCTTCTAAATCTTGTAGCCAGCACATTTTTTTTTTTAATTTCTTTTGACTGGCTTATTGGTCCATTGAAAGGAAGGAAGGACGGACAGAATAAAAGAACATTTGCTCCTTGTTCCTTTGCCAAATGAAATTAAATAAAGTATGTCAATTGGCAATAGCAGAACCATTTTTTGTTACATATTTTGTTTGGCACACTAGGTTTTTTTTCTTTTCACCTACAGTAACCTAGCCCAAAAGTATAAAGTCTGTGACATACCCAGACCTCAACTAACATTTCTGAGTGACCTACATATTCACTAGAGAGGTAACGAATGCACACACACACACTTATCTAAAACAAAGTATCCGACACACCTGAATTTGTTTTTGGGGAAGTCAACTCTGCTTCTTAGACCATTGTAAGCAATATACCAATCTGAACACGTGTAAAAACCAAACAGGTATTTAAATCCAGTAGTTGAGAAAACTTCCATTGTGGGGATTTATTTTTTTTTATATCTGCCCCCCAAGAGTTTGATATTCTTGGCACAGAGTTAACTGTAGAGAGCCACCAGGTGCAACCTGATTATACGCTATGCCACGCAAGTGGCTAATTTTCACAATAAATCCCAAACCAGCAAGTTCTCTCAACAGCAAAGAATATAAGGATTCCTAGTCTGATTTTTTAAACTAATTTATGAAGATTCTTGTCGTAAAAATGTAATGTGAAGTCAGGAACAACACAATGTAAAATCCTGAAAGTCACAGTATAAACCTGAGATTTTGGCATTTTTATCAAAATGTCCTTAATGATTACTATGTATGCGTCACTAGTCCTTATACATCTTATTTACTGTGTATGTTATTGTTTGTCCCAAACAAGGAAAATAATTAAAAAATGACAATTTTTGTCCAACAATACATTAAAACAGAAATGATTAGATATTATCAAATTAAATAGCATAAATAAAATGTATTTACATTATTTCCCATCATTAGACACCATAATAAGTAATTAAATTGTGCAACAAACTTAAAACATCCAACATCAAAAATGTGAAGCATCATTTATATCTTCACATATCACTGACCTTACAAAAAACTATTAAAATATTTAAAAATTCCCATTGTATCTATTTCAGACATAAAGAAATTGCAAAAATGTTTAAGACTATTATTAAGTCATCAATTACACAGGCACTTCACATGTAAACAATCTACAGTACAACTGAAAAAAGATTTTGGCACCAACCTAGAAGACTGGAAAACCCCCCGTGAAATCTGTCCTTTTTACTGTATACTCTTTTGTGTAATGAACTTCTGTCCAACTAAATACTGGGGCTGTTAAAAATGTATAAATTACAAGAGTGCAAGAAATCAAGAACCCAAAAGGCAGCGCTATTTGAAATGTTAAAATGGATTAAATGCGATCAGTCACTCAGATTTTCACCATCATACAGTCGCCGTATTTTGAACTGTATATTTAAACCAAACAATTGATTTAAACGCTTTACAGGAGGGCTTTTTTTTTTTTTTAAATCAACTGAAGGTAGCTAAAAAATTAAATTTTTAGATGTAACACCATGAAACATTAATGGGAAACTTGGAACTTATATTACCTGGAAAGTGAACCTGATGCTGTCAAAATCTCTTGTGCATCCACACTTTAAAAAAACCCAAAAAGAAATCAGAATACCAACATATTCAGGTAATTGTCTGCTTCACAACAAGGTTCATGTTTAACTCCAGAATAAGGCTCTGTCTAAAGTATCTGGGCAGAAATGACTTTTTGATGGCTTGGATGTTCCCAATCAGGAAGCTGAATCGCCCAGGAGCAATCCAAATCAACAGATCAAAGGTTGGTTTGTCTGGTTTCCAAAAGTCACGTTACACAGAGGAAAGATGAGACGCCTTAGATGGTGGCAGTTCAAGCAGAGCCTGAACGGTGAGACCAACTTTCACTAGACCCCTTTCTTCCAAAATATGGTGAGGCAAGCAAAGCCTTTCCTGAAAAATAAAGCAACACATGCATCATATTGCAGTCATTTGGCCCAGCTTGGGTACACAATATATTCTTACAAGACTCGAGCACTCAAATACTTCATTGCTTCTAATTAGCGTTTTGTACAGAAATCACCCCTCTTTACACTTGCACACATGTTTCTATGGCAACTTTGAGTGTGAGAAGGTATGCAGAACCTAATTATACTCTACAGAAATTCTGAGAGCTGCAGTATGAAAAATGCAAATAAAAATATAAGTAATTAGCAAATCAAGGAAAACATTTCTATAAAACTGAAGAACATTAATGCTGAAATTCTGACCCCCAAGTCTATCAGAAATCCCCTTCCCTCCATTAAATGAAGGCCTGTACTAATCTTAATTAACTAAAGATTCAGGAACAAAGGTTTCTATCTGCCTTCATAAACAGACGCAACAAAATGGGCTGGCGGGGCAGTTCTGGATTCGTGGTCACATTCCTCCATCTGACACGTGGAAGCTCTGTACAGGTCTCTGCACTGCCGGGGTGGGGAAACTTGGCAACAAAATCACCCTCCACAGAGATTCCCCTTTCCCACAGTATCAGATAAAACAAGTGCCTACCATCTAGTGTTAACTCCTCGCCCTTTTAAAAATTATTTATAAACGCGTGGGGTCGGAATCGATAGCAAAATCTTTGGGAACACGACTTCTGCAGGACCTCAGCTGATCTGGGGGGCAGATGCTGGGCAGGGCAGAAGCACAGCATCGTAACCCCAACTATGGTTCCACCTGAAACGGTGCCCTTGCTCCTTTGGGGCAGGAAGAAACAGTAACCCGTCCAACAATCATCTGGCTACTCCAAGTACAACTCTTTGGAGTTTCTCACCTCTAAACGGGAAGGAAATTTCTCTTTTAATGAGTTTCCACTGGTGGAGGGGGTAAGAGAATCAACCTGGCCAATGTGAGAGCAGTACCAAGGACCAGAGCTCTCGTAGTACAGTTAAGGGGTCACGAGCTGCTTCTGGTAGCTCTATCTGCACATCAAAAGGTGCACTGAATCTCTTATTTTAATGTAGGGTTTTTCCTAGGCAGGAAGATCTGCCATACACACTGTAATATGCTACTAAAGGTTTCTGATACCAGTGATGCCTAGCTCTTACACAGAGCATTTCATCAGGAGCTCTCAAAGCCAATTGCAATGCTCAGCACCATTTTGAAGCCCAGAGAGGTAAAATGATTTGGCAAAGCTTAGACGGCTGCTCAGAGAAAGAGGTAGGTGTAAGACCCAGGTGTCCCGAGTCCTCTATTATAACCAGCTGACTCCCCAATGGTCAGAAATCTAAACTCCTACAATGCTGCTAAACCTTGCCTGCAGTCAGTATCAACAAGCAAATTAGTCAGTCAAGTAATCTGTATACCTGGGGGACGCCCAATTTTTTGCAAGCATCCAAAAAGTTTTCAACATTTCTTCGGCACTTTGCCATGCTGAGTTTAGGCTGTAAAACAGGATGTTAGATTCTCAGTTACTTCTTTATGACAGGTTTTTTAAATTATGGTGCAAATTCTGTAACCGTTGTTGGACCAGAAACTAAGGTACAATAATCATTTCGTAAAGACCTTTAATCCAGGACAGAGTACTTGTTCTATGGGGCTGGAAAGAACATGAAAGCTGACAATGTATATCTACAACAGAGTAACGACCACTTACAACTATCTAGCGTGGAACTCCAAGAGTGTCTTCACTTCAGATATGGCCCCTACTCCAGGAAGGATGTGGACAAACTGGGTTGAAGGGCAATGGAAATGGTTGTGGGGCTGGGGGACAGGACTGGTGAGGAGACGCTGAGGGAACCGGGCTGATTTAGTCTGGAGAAGAGAAGACTGAGGGGGGATTTAAGCCTTCACCTCCCTGCAGGGGGGCTGCAAAGAGGATGGATCTGGACTGTTCTCAGTGAGGGCAGATGACAGGACAAGGAGCAATGGGCTCACACTGCAGCAAGGGAAGTTGAGGTTGGATATTAGGAAACACTTTCTCATGAGGGTGGTGAAGCACAGGAACAGGTGACCCATACAGGTGGTGAAGTCTCCATCCTTGAGGGGGTTTAAGACCCAGGTAGACAAGGCCCTGTCTGAGATGATGTAGTTGGGGCTGGTCCTGTTTTGAGCAGGGGGTTGGGACTGGATGTGACCTGAGGTCCCTTCCACCCTGAATTTTCTATCGCTCTATGACTATAAAGATATAGGTGACCTACCACTGCTGGTGATGGTACATGAATGCTGGCAACAGAACGTGGCCTTATGTGATTGGCTAAATGGCAAAGAACCACACCATCCATCAATGCCGCCCCAATGTCGTCCGGCAACATCACTTTTAACCTTGATTCAAGATTCTATTGAACGAAAAAGAAAGAAAGAAAAGAACAGAAAAACTTCTCACTATCAAGGCAATTTTAATTTAAACTAAGTTTAAAATTGCAATATTTTTATGCTAACACATTATAATTGATTGCAAATATTCCATTTTCATACAATTAACCTGTTTTTCCTTAACTTTTAATGGTGTATCTTCAAGGACATGACACTTGATCTTAGTCAAAAGGCCAAGAAGTACTAAGGGAAGGACTCAGCCAACAGCCACAATAATGCTCCTCACACAAATGTGGAGAGCCATGACATCTAACTTGCAGATGTTTTCAAAGATCATAAAAAAGATGAACTGAACACCCCATGCAAGTCCAGAATTTGCAGGTATACATGTCAGGTTGCAAAGCTGGGTCAACTGCCTCTGCAGGGACGGACACAACGGGCATGAATCACGCCCCCGTGAAAAGCAAGTGATCTATTTGCTTTGCAGAGGTCACCTCCAAAAATACGTACACACAAATGATAGGAAATGACGCAGGGATCTCTCCACATGCTGGAAAAGTTTGGGCAGTGGGGGATGTCACCCATGTGATAAGTAATAGTGTCCAACTAGGAGCTGGAGAAGTAAAAAATATAACTGAAACAGGTCATCAAAAGTCCTAAACTTCTATTGTACCTCATTGTTATTTAACAGCTGTTTAACCAAATGAGTGCTGTTTTATACAATTAACTTACAAATATGGTCGGGAGAATAAAGCCAGGGAAACAGTGACATGTTGACCTAACATGCAGGTAGGTACACTCAGTGCCAGCTTAGTGCTACGTGCCGCAATTAGTCCTACCTTCCACCCATGTTTGATGAGGCAAGTGTTCAAAGTCCAAGGTCAGGTACAAGCCAAACTACCAAACTGCTAGCCAAGATGTACTGTACTAGGGGAGCCTTCTCTCGCAATGCACTGTTTGCCCTGCATTGCTTCTGAAGACCCAAACGTGATGTGCAAACCAGCATGCTAGAGAGGCCTACCAGCCAGACACTCGTTTTCTTTCGTGCCATTTTCTCCTTGAGGAGGAGATTTGTCATATGCAAGCTCTTAGGGTGGACCTATGTTGCTGTGGGGATGGCTCTTGCACAGCCGTGATAATCTCTATCATAGAAAGGCTTCACAACAAGGGTTTTACTGGTAGGGAAGAGTAAAGGGAAGTTATGGCCCCAAGACTGAACCTATATAGCAAACTATAGCACATACATTGCGAAGCTGTCTTATTTGTTCCCTTTCTTCCCTTAAATGCTCCATTTTCCTTCTCATTGTAAATCCAGGGTCCACTGCTCCATAGTCCTGGCGCGATGTACGGCTGAAAGCTGTGAAAAATTAATAGTTATTTTTCAGCACTTGGAAAAAAACAGCCTTATGGGGAAGAGTCCATCAGTAAGGACAAATAAGAGAAAAACTCTACTGACATGTTAAGACAGCTATGTTATGTATCATAGGATGTATCACTATCATAAGATGACTCCCCTAATATATCAGCTAGCTGGGCTAGTAGTTCAGTCAAACTTGCAGAAAAAACTAGACTAGATAATTTTTCACACATGCACATTTGTGCCTAGAAACCATGCAGAGAGAGTTAATTTAGATGTGCAACTCTGCTTGGCACATATTTTGGAATATTTTAATGTGTGGTAAATTAGGACAATATGTTCAAAGCTGAATCCTTGCCCAGCCTCTCTCATTCACTTCTTACTTTGTTTTTTTAGCAGGAAAGTTTCCAGTCATACTGAACAACAGACATTTTAAATGACTTGTTCAGAATGTCATGGTTATGCTAGTTTACATTTATGGCATGCATACATTATATGAAAATAAAGTACGCTCTTAACTCACAAGTCTCGAACAATTTAAAGGAGAAGGTTTTCAAAAACTGGAATACCAATCATTTTATAATTACACCATGTTAGGAGAGAGTGTAATCGCCAAAGTGATACCATATGTGAGTGACCTTCGCTGGGTATATTCTTGTACTGAGGATCCATAAGTTAGTAATAAGGAAAGATGCATTTTTCAAGTTTGCAAAAGATAAACATGAGCCCAAAATGTGTAGAAGCAGGACAGGCTTTTCCTACTGAGTTTCTGAAAAGAAGCTCCCAGTTGCAGTCTCCTTTTTTTTTGCTGATACTATGGTAGCATTTCCCAGTGGCGTTGCATATAGTTTATATACCACACGCAATGCAGTATATGACTAAGTACAAAGTTAAGAAACAAAGTATTAATTGAAGGCGTGCCCCCTGCTTCCTAGGCTTCAGGGAAATTAGCATCTGTGCCAGCCAGCATTATCTAAAGCAATCGCCCTGCAAGGAGAGTGAGCAGCTGCTTGGCAGTGAAAGGGGCATGAGATCTGCTGAGCCAAAGAACCACGGGCAGCTCCCTACTCTACACATCTATTCAATGGAGAGCAAGTGGTCCTTGCCTCTCTGCAGTATTCCCAGGGACAAGTGTGTACTCTCATCCTTGGTCTGCACAGGACGGCTTACGTCTGAGAAGAGAAATGAATGGGGTAGCAAATTACTTTGCAACTGAGGGGCCCTTCAGTGAGAAGCTTCTCCGAGCAGCTGGCCTTGCCTCTCCCCATAGCGCTGTGTTAACTGCCTGTGAGGACTTGCTCTCCCCTTCCACTTGTCCCAGTTCATGCATCTGTTGTCCTTCCCCTCCCTGACAGCGGGGAGAGTCAGCATCTGCTCTGCCATGCGGTACTAAACAACAGCAGCTTACCTGACCTAGGTTTGAGACCAAATGGACCATGAGAGTTACTGTCTGTCCTTTCATAATCCTGTTAAAAAAAAAATATACTGTCATTTTTCCTCCAGTGTTTGAGGGAATTAAAAGAATAAAAAAATTACATCTAAAACTTCTGTTCCCATCAAGACAACACTGACCACTTTCCATGTTCAGAGTACAAAACTTCCCTTTGCTTCAATGAAAAAACAGAGTTCTAGCATCTTTCTAGCAGTATCCTAGCCTTAAATCCTAGAGGGGTGCTATAATAAGGCAGTGATGTACGTTCGCTCGCCAAAGAGAGACACTCTTCTCTAGGCAGAAAAGTGACACCAGTTTAACTGAAGTCTCTGTTTAAAGCAACTGAGATCTCTGTATGAACCTACTTCTAATTCTAAGCCAGCTGGAAATAACAGAAGTGTAACCACATACAGATTGGCATGGATTTAACTCGATTATTTGAAAAAAAAAGTTCAGCTAATTCAGTGCCATATGCATGTATGCAGATTAAGCCACAGAAAAGAATCCCTTAAAGAGCACTGTTGAGTGGACGGACCTATTTCATTACATCTGAACAAACCAAAAGAAATAGGTATTTGAAAAACCATTTAAGGGAGTAGTCTTTCCTGCCCGAGTGCAGGGGGGCTGGACCCGATGATCTTGTAAGGTCCCTTCCAGCCCCTAACATCTATGCATCTATGAACTGATGTGTATATGTCTTGCTACCAAAGCTCACCATCCAAACATGTCTCACCCCAGTTCTGGACAAAACCCACCTAGCAGGTTCAGGGATAACAATCCAGGTTATCATGAAGAAAAAGCAGTGGCAGCTTGCAGGCAGGCAGCCACTACTTCTGCCTCCCCTCTGCAGTGTCAGCACAGGCCACGGTGTGGCACGGGCCCCCTTCTGCACTTCCAGCAGGGGAAGCACGCCCAGGAGTGACTCCCCTTTTATTTCTTTATAAGACAAAGGGGATGTTCAAGTGCGGGACATGGCCCTCTCCCATCCCTAGAGCTGGAGGAGGGACACTTCAAGTCCTCCATTACCGGGGTGGCGGGGAACACCATCTGGCATATAAACTCTTTCCTGACTCCCCACTCCACGATACCTAGCTGATAGTAGATTTATGAGCGTCTGTTCTTCTCGGCAGAGGTTTGCAGTGCGACTGGCAACAAGGGAAATATCAGTCAGGCCACATGCATTTTCCTTCTTAAAAATCACCCAGGAAGCCAGGCTAAGGTGTACATCAGGCAACCAGATGCGTGGGAGATGAAACTCTGACTCAGAGGAAGACCTGGCGACACAGGATCGTGTATGGATGGACACCGTTCTAAATCACAACTGGTGTTTACAACTCTCTAAACACTGGGCCACCCGGACGCTGTCCTTTTTCAGCCCGGCAACTTTGACTTCTCTCAGCCGGAATAAGTGAGGCAGAAAACCAACCGTTTCTTTCTTGTACATCAATTAATCAAAAAGATCCAGTGATCTTCCTTTTACACAACTGATTCCTTTTTATATCTGACTTTTAAATTAAGGCATATGCATATAAGGTTTCAAATCTCTTCAAAGGAAAGCCCACTGAGTACATTTTCTGATTTGTCTGAGAGCCACCTATTTTTGTATGGTGAAAGCAAATTAGTGCACACAGAAAATGTTCCCTGAAAGAAAAAAAAAACAAACCAAAAAACACAAACTTGTACCTCAGACGATACAGGAGACTGTGGAGACACATTAGTATTATCACTGTCTTGCTAAAAAGAAATCAGAGATGAAATTATAAAAAGAAAATTATGATTTAAATAGGTAAAATATGAAGTTATGAAAATGACTGCATGCATGCATAACACAGGTAACATTTCTCTTGAATATGGCAGAGTCCAGTAGCAATTAACAGCATGCCAGTCAATCAACTATTGCATATTTTTAGCAACAATACTTTGACAAAAGGGATTTTCTTGCTGTAAAGTATTTAATTTGAATTCTTCCTAAGAAAAATACAGGTCTATATTACTTATTTTAATCTATTCAAATTTAAAATGTCATAATTAAATTACGTTTTAAATGATAAACGCTTCCCTCTTTAATCTCTTGCACTTTTAATTGTAAAAGTATTTAAATCACAAAGCCCCCACTTATCTACAAATAAATATTATTTAAACTCGTACGACACTGGAGCTAGTCGCTATCTATTTTGTTTAAAGAAGATACAGGATTTAAATCAAGTTGTATTACTGGACTGCAGTTTCTTGTGGACAACAGAAAAATTATTACATCTACTAATTCTTTCACCCCCTTAAAAGTTGAGCGACTATTGAAATGATAACTGCTATAGTAATCAAAAGCATTGCTTCACAATTTTTTATATTGTTGAAGGTAAAGTCATTATTACAGTTAGCAGCAGTCTCACTGTAAATGTTTGCAACAAGAAACCAAGTGGAAGAGAAGAGACAAAAATGAAGACAGGAAAAACAATGTTTAAAATTAATGTTAACTCTTAGCTTTTACGTTCCAGACTTGGAAATGCATTTGGGAAATGCATTTGGGATGAGCACTATGGCATGCAGACAGCCACTGTACAACAGTATAATGAGGGAGGCACAAAGAAACGGCCCTTTCTTAGAATAACCATGTCTTCTACTTTACTCAGGTGCCCGTGCGCAGTGTCTATGGCAGGTGGTATTTTATACAGATATATATCTCTCGTGTTCTAGGTAGGCTGCAAGCTCTATGGGGCAAGGACAGCCTGCCTGTGGCATTTACACCCTGCTCATCAACCTGTTCCTGGGCTGTGTCTGGGATTGCTTAGTGGCACTACAATGCAAACAAGTAATGTCTTGGTTGAAGTATTTTATACCACCGTTGTGTCTCACCTCATCATTTTCATTTCCACTTGAACTCTTTCTGGAAGACTTGTACTGCAAAACATAAACATTTTTTTTTATTATTTGTAGAAAATGCACAGGTTTTACGTGTCCCAAAAGTAATGCATGCCAGTGGGACTGCTAGATAGATGACTGACCATCATCCTGCAAATGTTTTTAAATAGTGCAGAACTTGGGACAGGGACAAGGGCTTGTGCATTCACGTCTTGACTGCTGCTGGCGCCCCTGGGGTACCACCTTTGCTCAGGTAACAGTGCTACGGCCAACCAACTTATTGTTAAAATGACTGGAAGAAATGAGGCCTTATGGCACTACACAGAATGTTTTTTAAATGTTAGTGAGAAACATTTTTACATTTATGATTGCATTGTGTGTATTTTAGAAAATATTTTTGCAGAATCTGGTCTTGGATTTTGACGCCAGCGTAGCTACTCCATCACACTATATCAAACGACTACTATAGCGGCATCCATCAGAAAGGAACTTAAACTATATGTACAATTACATGTGGAAAGCGATATTAAAACGTTGCTAACACTGCAAAGTCAGGCACTTTGCAGAATTAAGGCCATCTGTACAGCTTTAATTCAGCTCTCTTGTGCACATCCTTCATAATAATTCAGTCTTTAATTACCTAATCAAGTATTATTTTCTCCACAGAATCCTTCATTTATTTATATACTCCTTACATATTTATTGCACTCTATTCAAACACTGCTCTGAAAACAGAATTATTTTCCTTCTTGGCTTTTCCTACACTACTCCTCACCACAGTGCCTGAATGTTCATAAATATTAGTGAAATTATTTCCGCGGCACCTGTGTGAGGTGAAGGGCTATTCTATCTTCGTTTTACAGCTAGGAACTGAAGCACAAGGAGTTTGTCACAAGATCTGTTAATTCTGGGTGCTCAAGCTGAGATGCCTTGTACCAACCTGTCTCTATCTTGGTCCTGTTCATCTCAGCTTCTCATCACAGTCCCATTTTCTGTTGCTGACATGTAGGAGAGATTGATACCCACCTTGGGCATGTGGACTGCACCCATTATATGCACAGAATCACCCTCCAGAGATACACGGACATCTCTCTATTCCTGTAATGGGGGCACTTACATGCTCAGCGGGGGTAACAAGCACTCCCACATCTTAGTCAGGTAACACTAGTCTCAAGCCACACTTTGATTGTGCACGAGTGAAATAAGAGTTCTGCCCCTGCCTCTATTCCTCAGGTCTTTTGCCCCAGTCCCTGTCTCCGTGCTTAGCCAGTTTATTCCCAGAATCTCTGCCTCAGTCTCCCTCGCTTACAATGCTCCTTGCCTAGTGACACCCCCGGCTTCCCACCCCATGTCTCTCCCTTATCAGCACTCTGGTCTCCAGTCACCCCATTTCCTGTCCACACTCCCCACTGCAATCTCTTTGCCTTGGACTAAATTATGCACAATACCCTCTTCGTTCTCAAATGCAATTAACTTCAAACTTGCATAACATTTTGGAACGGCCACCTTTCCAGATAGAAGTATGATGGCTAAATTTCCTGAAGCCCTTTTCACAGTTCCGAACATCCTAATTCGCAATCCAGTCAGAAGCACAAACACCTACATTATCTCCAAAAGATGGACAAAACTAAGATCTGCTTTTGCAAAATGTAGACACTGACATCTTGTGACCACTGATACACACTGCAAACAAAATGAAGCAGTAATAGAAAATGTCTCAAATGCAAGTGTTCAGCTAGATGTTAAGAGATCAATTATGAAAATGTTTGATGTTAACATGCTGTATCGGGTAAGGCAGAGTGACACCTTATAGACTAATTAATGCAGAGAGGCATAAGCTTTCATAAGCAACAGCTTATTTCATCAGATACTATGACTTCAGGCTAACATGGCTAAGTACCTCTCTGCTGCATCAAGATATAGTAACTGCTTTAAGATGTATTATACATTTTATTTAAACTTCGTAAAAACATCACACTGAGCATAAAAACTATTTTTGCACACGTCTTGTGACTAAGTTTGGGGAAGGAGAAAGGAAAGAACCAATTAATGTTCGGGAGAATTGGGGGTTAGACTTGATCCAAGGTCTTTAGCGCACAGCCTGAGAAGACGGATTGCTTCAGAGAGAGAATATTTTCCAGCGCACTGCGTTGTCATAACCCCCTGAAAACACATCTATTCACCTACCAGGCTGAACTAAATGGAGGTTATAGCTCATAACAAGTTCAGGAAAAATGCTAGGCTGCCTTTTTTCTTCTTTTTGCAAAAAATCCACTAAGCTCCCAACTCTAAATAGCCCCAAAAAGGATAGAGGCGCAGAGTAAAGATTTTTGTTCAAGAGTAATTCAAAATATTGTTATTTTGTACGGTTAAAGGATACCCAAAGAAATACTTGCTCTTGTAAAATGCAGAAGGCAAATTTAATGTACCTGCTTGTATCATATGGCCGCGTGTTTCAAAATGAACGTACACACTTATATCTGTTGTTTGCCACCAGGAGTGCTTGGATGTTTCACTAACGCCCATTCTGAGCACCCCCTGTCGTGCACGCTGCAAGCGCGCTGCCGACCTTCTGAAAAATGAGAATCGGCACCGCTAATCAACGTGCCTCTGTACTCCTAGTGACTGAAGTGCACAGACATTTTTTGAGACATGGTGTATAGTTTAGTGATAAGTTAAGCTGAATTTTCTTCATTTTTTGTACCAGAAAAATGATCTTGTTTTGATTAAGAAAGCTAGAGTTCCGAAGTGAAAAAGGCACCAACAAAAAAGTATTTCTGATACCTTGAAATATTCCTTTCTAAGTTGTTTGCTCTTCCTCCTCTCTTCATTCTGCCAAATAACTGGTTGAGTTTCTGGCCAGTGCTGCTCATCTGTCTCATCCTTCTGATTTTCTAGAGGCTGGTTTGTTTGTTTTTTAAAATAAAAAAAAAAATACACAGTAGGCAAGTATTAGAACTGGAATGAATTGTTCTGAGTTAAAATTACGTGATGATAATAAAGCTGAACAGAAAAGCATGTTTTATTGAAAGCAGTAGTCTTTCCTGGGCTAGCCTGGCAGAATGACTTCATCACATCTCAAGTACGGGTAACCTCTGGACAACATTTCTTGCGTTTCAAAATTCTACAATAAATTCTACACGAGGAATCGGAAAAGCATAACACGTTTATCTTTTTTAAAAGTTCATATCTTTCCCAGTCATTCAGGCTGCACCTGGCTTTCACGAGTGAGCCATGTGCCATTGCCTACAATTACTATTATGAGTGTTAGTATGAGGCCTGACTAGCCTTTCATGCGCTTTCGGTGGCAGTTCCCATATGGATAAATTGGGATGTGCATAAATTTTACATATCAGGCCAACCGCCCACAACTATTCTTTAAAAGCACGCTCTTGTAATCCTTAGCGGCAATGATGTGTTTGTTCATTAGATAGCGCTAGAAAACTTCTATCTTTGCAACATACAAATTAATATGAGGAAACAAAGGAAATGATCAAAGTTTTAGTCATAAGAGATCAGTGAATGGAAGTAATTAAGAAGCACTGTCCTATTCTAGGAAGGGATGACTACACAGGCGTGTTACTGTAAAGTAAGCTAGGGGTGAGCCTGCAGCATGTCGGCTACCCCAACTGTACCTGCTTCTGTGCACGTTCTTACCCCAACGTTAAAGGAAGGTAGCTTCCCTCTCCATGAGAGTGGGATAAGATACCTTGCATTGCTATTATTATTGTTAAGATTTATAGCCCACCCTATCAGGAGGGCTCAGAATGGCTTCCGATGAATGCCAACACCCCGGAGATAAGGAACAGCCACCTCTCCAAACGACACCTCAAAACTAGGAAATTCCCCCCACCCCACTTTGCTATGACCCTTAAGAGCAAACCTTCAGCCAAACCCAACTGTGCTTTGCAATCCCGTTCGCATCAAACAGAGGTATAAAGTAACTTCTTCCCACCCCGTCTTACTCCTGTCCCATAGCCAGGGGGGATACCACCCCCCTGCTCCCTACGTGGGGAAAAAGCATGCACATACGTGATGAGTGGGGAGTACCGCCATGCTGTGACCTTACTTTGCAGGCGTAGCCATACCACAAAAGCTAAAGGAAGGTGGTTCAAAAGGAATGATTTAACTACAAGGATCGCAAAGCAACCAACTGGCTTTTCTAAACCTCGCTTCTTATTAGCACACCTGGACACCATAACAACGATCAAAACACAAATGAGGAATCAACATCTAAAAATCAAACATTCGGAGTTTGGTCTTCCAAGTTTCACACGCTTTTGATGTGTAATGGAACCACTTCTCAATTAGGCGCACACAGCGAAGACTGGAGCTCTACAAGATTCAGACTTTGTTAAACCTGAGGAAAATAACAATCTGGCAAGTCTGAGACAAGGAGACAGAAAAACACACAGTCCGTGTCTTAGCAGCATTACCAAGTTCTTAAAGACAGCGTGACTAATACCTGAAGATATGAGGATACAGAACAAACTGGAGTGCTACATAAAGAGGGACCTTAGCTTCCACCTGCAAACTGTCTGTGTGCGCACATGCTGAAAGAAATCAGAGGAAGTGACTCATCTACGCACAGGTCACTGCTGAAATGGTGATCAAGCATTAAAAATACGATTTAGTTGTATATGCACCTACTTACCTGCCAGCTGTATGGAGACAACGGAGAGTTTGCTTCATCTGCTGAGACACTTAAAAACAAAAGCCCATATAAATATGTATGATCTTGGTTTTATTAGCTGCTGTGTTATAACATTTGTAAAAAGTCAACAGCAAGAATGCCAAAATATTTTAGAGGTGTTAACTGGGCAGTTTTGTGCTTTGGGCAGCGGCAGCAGCTGTGATGTTTGCACCCCATTCGCTCCCCCCAGCCCAGTTATGTTCTTACTCTTTTACATGAAGACAGAAGTGTTTCATGCAAGGGGATAGGTTAAAGTTGGGCACAGTGTTACAAATATATAAATCCCCAGCAACACTGTGCTGACCTACTGTTCACAATTTAAAAATTGATACTCCAAAAACGAATTCCATGATTTTCTATTAGAATGTCACATTACATGTTTGCACCCAGATCTATTTCATCCTCTTCTACGTGCTTCCCAGTCTCCAGCAGTTTACTTTCAACACAGATTCAAACAGATCCTTAAAATACTTCCTGTGAAATTTAGTTGCTGCCTTTCTCCAAAAAGTGGAGGCACGTTGTGTTTCATGTTACCAATAAAGCAGTATGTTCTGCTTTTACATGGGTTGCCCTGTGTACAGTCAGTTTACGGTGCGTGTAGAACCGCTACACAATCAATAGGGAACAGAATGATATTAGAAGAGAGGGAAAGTAAACCGATAAATCTCAAAAATAAAGCAGAGGCACTCGAGGGCAATACCCCAAACTCCTTGTATTATTCAGTATCACAAAATAAATCTACAGTTGGCGTTTCTCTCTATTCCTTGAGCAAAATCTTCCTTAAAGGTCATATTTCAATGTTCTCATGGGCACAAAACTCATTTCTTCCATACTGCTTACCAGCAGCTTTCCTTGCTGACAATCTGGGGAACTAAGGAGGAAACTCCAGAGCCAAAAGCAGATTCCCATCTGGAGCTGAAGAGCTTAGCTCGGCAGTTCTGAAACACGAGAGACCCCACGCTCTGCGGACTGGGGCCTGGAAGGGACCCCGCACGCCCTGATCGCTGGAGTTACATCCACAGTCAACTATACTGTGGTGACAGTCAGGCAGGGGCAAGCTGCAACTGCTGCTCCTATAAGAAGTTTTGTCACTCTCTGCTCCAAATTTTCACCCCCCTTGTTTGTTTTATACACCTGACACGTCTTAGGTCTCTCCCTATCCTCAGACACTGAGCACTCTGGGAATTAACTGCAAACCATGCCATTTTACTATTCACTCCCCTTTTCAGATGATTTCTGTGTTGAACACTGTACAGATCGCTGGGTGGCCCCCACTGCTAACCTAAATCCATGGCAAAAAAAGAGAAGACTAACCCTCTGTTTCGTATCTATTAGTTTTCAATCCAGGAAAGGTCTTTCTCACTGATCCTTTCCACTCGGAGGCACAGCGGTTGCCTTGCCCCACTGTACAGAGGGGGTATCTAATGGCTATTTGCAAGGACTCTCCTTCAGCAAGGGTCAGATGTGGGCACCAGGTGGGTTGGAAGGATAACTGGTTTAGGGGCTCTGAAGGGACCATAAGTGGCTTAGAGGCTCGCTGGGTTCTGTCTTGCTGCAAGAAGAAACTGGAGGAGGGTTGTGGCTACCTTGCTCTTCATGCCTTCTCGCAGGTTTACAAGGAGGCACGGGGTGCAGGCACCACTGGGAAAATCCAACCCCCTGAGTGTGAGCTACAAGTGCATCTGCAGCAGGCTTAGAGTTTGTCAACGAGGCAGACTTTATACAAAATGTAAGGCTGAAACACAGTTAGATGTACCTTCACATCAGGATTTGAACTTTTTAACCATACTTTCTAAAGGACCTCAACTTTCGCACTGGCTTATCTGAACACTTCCGGCTTTGCCTAAAAGTAAGTAGCCAACCCGCGTAAGAGATGTGTGTGTGTGTGTGTGTGCACACGCACGCACGCACACTTGTGATTTGACTTTTACCAGTTTACAGTGAGCCACAAGATGGCACCAGTAACCTTAAAAAAAATTCAAAAACCCATTTTTATAAAATCTTGGTCATATTAGAGTGACGTTGTAGCCATAATGGCCCAGGAATCAAGTGATGTCTTTTATTGGGCCAACTGCACCATTGAGATAGTTAGACAAGCTTTCCAATGCAAGACATTCTTCTTCAGGTCTGAGGGAATAAAAGAAGGATGTCTGTCTTGCATTGGAAAGCTTCATTTGTGCAGGAATTAGACTAGACGACCCTAGAAGTTCCTTCCATCGTCACAGTTCTGTTTCTTTGTAGTAACCTTTTATATATTTCAAGACTTCTCTCCCTTTCAGTCTTGTCTTTCTATACCCAACAAACCCAATGCTCACGTCTTCTGGATCTCCGATTCTTTTTTTTTATTCCTCTCTCGTGACTCTCTCCAAATCATCCATATCTTTCCTGAAGGTTGCTGTCTGAAACTGGGTGCAGACACTGCTGAGGTCCTACCTGAGATGAACGTTTACTTCACGTGTATGTGTAGTACTCTGCCCTTGGTCCTACTGCATTTCATCCCATTTCAGATGACTCCTCTTGTCTAGCACATTTTGAATTCTAATTCTGTCTTCTAACACACTTGCAACTCCTCCTGGCTTGATATCATCTGTAAACTTAACGAGTGCGCTCTCTATTCCATCATCCAAGGCTTTTGATGAAAATACTGAATGGTAACAGATTCAAGATAGACCCTTACAGAACCCCTCAAAATATTCTTCCAGTTTTAGTATAAGCCACCAAATACTCTTTAACTACACTTTTCTGACCACTGTTGCACCCGTACAATGAGAAATACAAACCAAGTCAAAAGTCTTAACGCTATTAATTTTATTCACTTCTATGTGGAACGCAAGACTAATCGCACGGTTTCAATTTACTTTGCTAGTACTGATATGCTCTGACAGTATTCAAAGCCCAAATATTTACTAACTTTGGGTGCTTGCCTTAAGAATGGTGGGGAATGCTTTTCAGACCTGCAAGCAATGGACACTCCTCGATTATTAACGTGGAGTTATCATACCTGGATCCTCTGGAAATCAATCTAGGCGTCTTAACCTGGTCATCCTAAGTAAGAGGAAAGGTTTGAAAATTCCCTGCCTGGTGTTAGCTTGCTCAGCCGTTTTGCACAGACGTCAGCTAACAGTGCGGGAAGAAACGGAGCAAGGTGAGAAGAGTCGAAATTCAGAAGGACACAGATTTTAGCATTTTTTTTTTGGTATTTTCATCTCACAGATAGAGATGTCGGGAGAAGCTGTTACGGGAACATGGCTAATCCCGGGGGACGGAGTGTGAAGAACAGAGGGATCGTCTGAGTCACTGAGTCCAGCCCCCTGGCTTCACAGGCAATAATGCCATATCACTGCTTCCGTAAACTAATCAAGCACCATGTTAAAAGTAGTTACGAACGGCCCCATTTCTCCTCATCTAGCTCAGGAAGCGCAGTTCGGGATCCTCTCACAAGACAGGCTCCATTCAGGTAGACCTTCTCTGAATCTGTTCCATGTGAATTCACACAAATGTCCAAAACTTTACACAATATCCAGATGAGGTCTTAACATAGCTTTATATGACCCAAACACTTCCCAATCCTTCTGGAGACACTTCCCGATACATCTGAGGGCTGAACTGTTTCCCACAGCTGGTGCACCTTGGCAGCTCAGGCTCGTTCTGTGAACAATTAATGCAAACAGGCCTTTCTCCTCCTCGGTCACTTCTAGCTGCCGAGCACCAGGCTTAGGGCAGCCACTCTTTTATTACTCCCCAAGTGCCTAGCCTTGTCTTCTGTATTATTGAGTTTTATTCCATTTCTATTACTCTTAGACCTCAAAGCAATCCCATCCTTCCTCTGTGGTATTCCAGTTTTCCTCTATATTGATGATGTCTTTTAACTTTGTGCCACCAGCAAATTTCATCAGCACGATTCTACTTTTTTTTTTTGTGCAACAGTCATTAATGAAGATACTAAATAAAACTGATCCTGGAGGGACTCTACTAGTAACTCCCCTTCCCATATGAGACTTCTCCCTTCAACACTATCTGTTATCACCTCCCTTTAACCAGTCCGTAATCCCCTTGCCTATTTGTACTAATACCCATCTTGTCCAACTTAATTCACAATTTCCCAAGTGGCACCACTTCAGATGTTTGTCTGGTCCTCTATACTGATGGCCTCTATCACATTCCCTTTGTTTACAAAAGCAGTTATCAGTCAAAAGAGAGACAGGTTAGTCTGGCCAATTCAAGTTGTATTTTATCTCATTTTCCATTTACTTCATATCCTTAGTTTTTCCCCTGTCAAAATCAGCTCTAAAGCCTTCCATACTACTGAGGTCACAGATCTGCAGTGCTCTGATCATAAGTGCTTTTTCCATCCCTACTATAGGTACAACATTTGCTACTGTCCAATGATATGGTACCATGGGGAAACCACATTATTCAAAAAATTATAGGTATAAAGGGCTAAATGAGGAAAAATTAAAAAGGCACCAATTTCAGTATATTAGAAACTTGTTTTCATAGTCTTCTGACATATAATATGCTCATTTCTCATAACATGCATAGCTAGGCACATACGGTACCTTCCAGCTCTTGGATAATAGATATTGCTAAAATGCTGCGATACCTATATTGTACTTAGGGAAAAGAAGAAATAAGCAATGTCCTTCAAATACTGGCTCTCATGTGATGTTGGTGTACAAAGCTGTAATATATTTACAGTACAATGCTCCCTTCTGCTGCAGAAGAAAGGAGGCTAATTACGGTTGCAAGGGCCATGCGTCATGAGAAGAAGGGGCTGAGCCTGCACCGTATGACTCCCTGCCTCTTCTCACATTGCTGTAAATGCCACTTGCTTGAAGGTTCGGGGGTGGTGAAGGGGCAGGTTAGGCAGCATTAGAAAACATGCACTTCCCCTTAAGAGCCCAGGGGCAACTGTTCCAACGTCTGGCAGCACATGCTACTGCGTGGTCAATTATGACGGAGAGAAACACAGGAAGTGGCCCTCATCGCAAAGGTTCTGCCACTCTAGACAGGCTTACAAACACGAACTTGTACCCTCACGGGACGTGGCCGGCGTATACCCAGACTGTCAGCCGTATGACCAGAGCACATGCAACGATATGTTGCATGTGCAACATGCAAGACCTTGCATGACCTTGCAAGACCTCCAGACCTTGTCCGAGCCCCCAAGGTCTGGAACAGCCTGCCACCGGAGGTGGTTCAAGCGCCTTCATTGAACACCTTCAAGAGCAAACTGGATGCTTATCTTGCTGGGATCCTATGACCCCAGCTGACTTCCTGCCCTTTGGGCGGGGGGCTGGACTCGATGATCTTCCGAGGTCCCTTCCAGCCCTAATGTCTATGAAATCTATGAAATCTATGAGATATAAAGGTTATAGATGAGGATACCGTGGATATCAAGTACTCCACAAAGGAGAGAAAAGGTTCATGGGCTGTGGATACTAACTGCTCTTTCCTGCTTTCCAACCACTGAGTGCTGCTCAGCAGTGAGCCATAGGATTTCACATCTCACCACATGACCTAACTCAATCCAGCACCTGAATCTATTAGCTTTCTTCCAGACTGCAGAAGCAAAATCAGGATTATTCTGGGGAAACAAAATGCAAATTGGGAAACTCCCCACTGAGGGCTAGTATAGTGTGCAGTCATCTTACTTTGAGGATATTTGTATTGGAAAACCTAAAACGGAAGAATGGGAAGGCAGAAACCACAGACAGAGAAAACTCCTTAAGAATTCACTTTGGGGTCGTACAACGATAATGTGTCTTTTGTAAAAGACAACATACATCTTCCTGCCAAGAGCCATGCCCCTGCCAGAAACATCACAGGCAGTTTAAAAACTACTGAACAATACATATACCCGACACATATTTCCCCAGAAAAGCAAAGCAGAAAGAGAAAGCACTGCAAAGCAGTTATACATGGGAGAAAATGTTCCTTGCGCATTTATTTCTTTCTGCATTTCCATTTGTTACAGAAAATATTTAAACAGGCAACAGAATCTACTCAGGTTGTTTCTTGCTTGAAGTGAATCCTATAATTAGCACCAGAAACGGTTGCTCTGGAGGGCTGCATTTCATCTCAGACACGGGACTGTGGCTTTACAGGTTCTAAACTTTTTGGTTAACAAATTCCTCTCTTTGACATTGAAAGGAAGTAAGTTTGTATCTGCCAAGTTTCCTTCTTAGAAATATCGTATCTGTTCCTCACCTACTTAAGACTGGTTCAAAACAACAGACTAAGTGATAAAAAAATGCCGGTCACCCTTGGACAAGGGACTTTCCCATTAAGCTTGCTCCTGACAGTAGTCAGACATCATGAATGCTATCTCCCACTGCTTTGATGACTGAACTCGGAGGAGTTAAGCATTACTTTCAAGACATATCACTGCTTCCTCACATATGCTGTAAGTTTTTTGAGACAAAGCTGTCTTGCTTTGTGCATTACACGCAAGCACCAGCACACCTGTCAGCTCATTGAATAGCAGTGCTGTACCATCCAGCAGGAAAGGATGCTTCCTGACACAGGGGTAAAATCACTGTAAAATACATGGGAAAGGAAAAATGCCTGAATGCTCCAGAAGCTTTGAAGCTGAGGAAGACACAAGACTACAACTTTTCCAGGTGAAAGGATAGTAAATGGAGTGAACATCAGACGTGGCATGAATCGTGCAGGTTCACTATGCTACGAGGTTATGACAGCGAGATGCATACCTGTGTTGCCAGTACATGAAAAACCGTTTGTGGCGGATGGCAGGAATCCTCACGAACGTGCCAGATCAACCAGACAGGTTACAGACAGGTTACAACAGTGATCTGAATGGATTATTGTTTGTATGACCACAGCGCCTAGGAAGCCTAGCCATGAACCAGGATCCTTTATTCTAGGCACTGTAAAGAAAATGTAAGAGCATAAAAGAAGCTGTACCGGGCTGGACCATAGATCCCTCTAGCTCAGTATCCTGCATCTCACAGGGTGGACACTAAGGGGAAGAGTATTTATGCAGGACCCGTCCAGCCTCATCTGTCCTGTCCCTCTTCTCTTGCAACATCCAGCATTCAGAGGCCAGGGAATTTCTAAGTTGGAGGTTGTGTTTAATATCCCCCAATGGACCAATCCTGCATGAACGTGTCCAATGCTCTTTGGTTATTGGGTTTTACAACAGGCGTGTTAAACCTATGGGCTGTGGGCCAGATCCGGCCTGTAGGTCTCTGAACTAGCCCCAGCCCGAGCCCCGTGCACCCAGATCCAGGCACATGCTGGCATGATTTGGCACACTGAAGCCATATGATCTGGCCTGCGGGGCTCCCCATGGGTCCAGAAATTTGGCAGCAGGGAAACAGCAATTAATGTCATCACTGCACCCCCACTGCCAAATTTTCAAACCCCTGAGGAGCTCCGTGGGCTGATGACATGACTCCAGAGGGCAGATCTGGCCCATGGCCTGAATACCCTTGTTATAGACCTTTATCACCAGTCATCCCCATCAGTCGGTGTTTGTCTAAAATGAAAAGGCTTAGCCTATTTCTCCTCGTACAGAAGCCTCCCCATGCCCAGTCATCTCTGCTGCCCTTCTCTGTGCCTCATCTACCTCTGCTACATCCCTTTTGAGAGGGGAGGACTAGAATGATAAAGAACAAAGAATAACGAGACTATCGCTGCTACAAAGAGCTTACATCCTATCTACAAGACAAGAGACAGCACACAGAGACCAGACAGGGAAGTGGGGGAAAAAATAAAAAAAGATAATGCTGACTGGCATGACGAACCGGCACCCCAACTATTTTCAAGTGCTTTGCAAGAGTCGGGAAAAGAAAGGTTTAATGAAGGTTCTGAAGGAGTACGATGAGATAGTGCTGTGGATGCCTACAGAAAGTTTCTCTAGAATGAGAGGCAGCACGGGGAAGGAACATGCTTGAACATTTAATAAGTGGGCCAAAAAGGCTGCCAGCAGCTGACACACGGAGATCTGTGAGCAGCCAGCAAAGAAAAGTTTGTTGGCTAATGCTGACCAAGGCAGCTGGAGTATACCAAGATTTCTAAGTACTGAACTGCTTTCTGCTCCTTGTGTATAGTATTCTCTCTCATCTACTTTCTCTCTCTCACCTTTTAGATAGCTATAATTGCTTTTCATCCATTAGCCTCTACTTGTCTCCCGTACAAACAGAACCTGAATTAGGGGCACATAGCGTGATGCAGCATGCATCCCTGGACGAATGTTGCAGTAAAAGTGTTACTCATTGCTAACACCCCCTTCTCATAACACCACTTTATGCTAAACCCAACCATTTTGCTGCGGGAAGGATTTGACATTGATTGTTGACCGGCAAAACGTTAAAAGAGTTTTTCCACCCCCCCACGTCTGAGGAAGATGACTTGGATTTCTCAATGCTTCTTTTTAGAGTTGACAAATGTTTGGTATTAGCTGCAACAACTTCCATTAAAAACTCGAGTAAGCAGAGTTAAGGATATCCCTGAAAAAATGATCATTTAAAAAAGAAGTTTACTTTCAGTTTACTGTTAAACATTTCAGTGCCCAAATAACCTGAAAACGTGGTGTTTATGGCATATAAGAGTTGACAATTTTTTTTTAAGTACTAACGGTTTAAATACAGGAGCTCCTCGACAAACACAAAAACTAATTATTTCTTACATTCTACTCAAGAAATGTTCAACGTGAGAAATGTCACACCTACTGCCGAGTTAAACATCATACGGAAGTTAAACATCATACAGATAAGCGTCTGTATCGCCTATCTGCCTGTATCGCTAGAATTAAAAGGGCAGATTAAATTCAGAGGCTCAGAGAATGCTTCATCTGAATGATACAAAAAGCTAAACAATACTAACATCTCTCCAACACCACCAAAACGCATTTCTTAACTGACAGAGTAAAAAAAGTGCCTGAGGCATCCTGAAAATGTTTAGAATAGTTTATAGAGGTGTTGTTATTTTTCTGTTCCTCTGTTGATATTTAGTAAGTCCTCTTCAACAGGAGAAATGGTGATATAAACTGACTGTACACACACGGAGTGTTTGGCGCACACAATAAAATGAAGCAGCAAGCTACCTGATCACTCACTCCTATCACTTAGTGTCACCAGTAACTACACAGCTACGGGTAACTTGAGTAGACAAATAAGACTATAATTTTCTTAATACCTTTTTTCGGATTCCACGGTCTGCTGCTTTGGCCTGTTTCTTGTGCTTACTGAGGTCGAATGATTAAGGAGTCTGGGGGGAAAAAATATACACATTTATCTAAACAGCACTCTTTTTAAAAACCTTTCCAGTGTACAGAGCACCCTACAAAACACTTCCTGCAAAATAAACATTCGAAGCATGTCAGGACATATGTCACATGCAGGTTGAATGCGTTTCTATCAAGGGAACTCGGCAAAACCCAATCCTGCTCTCACTGAAGTCAGCAGCAAAGTTCCTAACTCTCATGGTACCTCAGTCTTGCAAACGCTGCGTGTCCTTTTCATTAAAGCTCTTTAGCAACAAGCTGCCCCAGCTGATTTTCACCCCAATGGACACCATCTCAGTTGTTCTCCATGGATGGAAGCCAGGCTGCTTTCAACACAGAAGCTCAGCCCTGTGCATCACAAGTGGCAGAGAGAGGAAACGGTAGGACACAGTGCAGTGAATAAGACTGGGACAAAAAAACATACGGGAAGGAAGACTGCAGAAGCGGTTAGGTGGATACGGAGGAAGAGTGGAGGGCAAGGAAAATGCAGAACTTAGGACGCTGGGCAAGAGAAATGGTAAGGTGGGAGTGGGTGCTGGGCAGGAGGTTTTAAGGGGTAAAAACTAGAGAACCGGGAAGAAGTGAGAAGAGCAATCGGAAGATAAAATGGGGATGAATAAGATGGGGATGAGTTGAGGCTGGACTCAATGATCTTCTGAGGTCCCTTCCAGCCCTAATGTCTATGAAAGATGGTAACTGCCTTCTCCTAAAACCTAGAGGGTCCGGTCCAAACTAGTTGGTGGTCTGCATTTGCGCATGCATTTCTAACTCGAAACAATCACCCAAAGACCTGGCAGGACATGCGGGGTCCTTTTAAAGATTTGAAAAACAGAAGGCAAATCAATGAGGGCAATTTGTAATCGTAAGATCTTTAACGAAGTCAAGATATTTAGTGGTCAGACTTATAACTTTTGAATTCTTTGGGACTAACAATTTTGCATTGCTAGATGCCATTAACTTCAATGTGTGCAGGATTGAGCCCAGAGTGCAGGGTTTTTTAAGATACAAAATGGGACTCACACAAACAAACAATCAGAACCATGATTCACTGAAAGAAAGAGAAGAAGGCTACAGGAAGACAGACACCGTAATTTTAGGTGACACATCATTCTTCTAAAATTGCCTTTATTAGTCATCAATTCAAGTAATGTATTAAATACTTCCACTGACACCCATCCCGGACTGTTAGAGCAGCATTAAGCTAAGGAGTCTCAGCGGTGGGCTGTCTTCTAGATGCCGCATGTTTATGTAATTATGTAAATCTTATTTAACTAAATGGATCATGCAGGTTCAAACCTGTGACATGAACAAACGATCTGCATCATGCAGTGCATACTCCCTATAGTTTATCATCAAGGATCCAATTTTTCAGGTCTTCTAACAGCATCAGACAAAAACAGCTATATATAAAGCTGCAATGTCTGCATTACATGACATAATAAATATGGAATAACAAGAAAAACTCCCATTGAAGTAAACGTATTAACTTTAAACCTTAATGTTAAGGAAGCAGGAACTGCACAGGGGTAGTGATCCCTGCAAGGTGTACAAGGAGTTCGATGGGCCTTCCCAATGGCACAAGAGATGCAGAGGAATTTGAAAATCAAAGGAGAGATGGACTCAAGTCACGTTTCCTATCTTCACAGATGGCTCTTCCCTTTGCATACCAGTACTGAATTTCTTTACTCCCATGTGGCTTTCCCTGTCTGCTCACTCCTTGGTCCCCCACTGGAACCAAGAAGTTCACCAAACCAGACTCAATTTCAAGCTAGTATTTCCAAAAAGTACCGCTTAAAGCCATTCAAAAACAAGTCTTCTCGTGAAATACTGTTCTTTCATATGTAGAGATGAAGGCATTTGGAGAGGAGCGGTCAAACATTCCTGAGCTATGCTAGGATAACATTTTTTTTGCAAAGGACAAGATGTGAGGTTTGAGAACTGTAGTTTGGTGAGTCACTGGTGGAGCCAAGGGAAGGATTTAAGCTCATAAACTTCCTAAACTCCAGTTTTGGAAGGGTATCTAATGTTCTGAAATGCATACTCTCTCCTTGGGGATAATACTGCATAATCATTTACCTTGAGATCTATTTTTAGTCATTAGGGATCTTATGCTAATTCCTCCAGTCGCTTTATTTTATTTTGAATAAGCAAATTCCAGTTAATGTTGCTTGTGCTCAACACATTATCATCTGCTGAATTTTAGAGCTCCACAAACACTGGATACCTTGATGCACGTCCTGCTGCCCTTGTCCTCTGGAACAGCTTTTCACTGAATGAAGTTCTATAGCTTAATGGTCTCCGTCTGTATTCACATTTCATGTACATCAAACCCAAAGATGGAAGAAGGAAGCAGGAGAGGTTGATGGGAGAGGATAGGGAAGTCATTAGTACAGCAAGGAGAAAGGAGAGAGTGGACAGACTGCATAGGATTAAAAGTAAACATGCCAAATGATCAGTTATTGTTAATAAGACCTTACTTCTGCGTGCATACATTTTAGAGAATTTCATGTGATCAGATCAAAGCTATACATTGAAAGTATTTACATATTTTCAGATTCAAAACCAGAAATATTTCTACTGTAAACATCTAAAGATTATGTATTGCTGTCACTAGAAGGAATTATAAATTGACAAAATCACAAGCAAAATCAAGGCTAACTTATTGCTTACTAAATGCTACTGACCAATGAGTGCTGAATTTGTCACCACAAGTTTAGAAGTACACTCGTTCTTTATGCAAGTTCCAAAGGCATCAAAGTAAATAGGAATATGCAAGGAGAGAGCCACCTGAGGCAAAAGACAGAACTAAGAACTAAATTACCGTATACAGTACAGTAATGGTTATGTTTAACGTGTGCAGCTTCATTTAAATACTGAGGTAAGTGAATGATCATATAATTGGGAAATTTATAAAACGTTTTTCAATCTGTCATATTTACTCAAATTCAAGATAGAGGAGGAAAGCCCCTCATTTTGGATTCAAGTACAAGGTTGGGGGGCAGACCCTGCTGCAGCTCCAGCCCCAACTCAGGCTCTGGGCTGCAGCTGCTGCCTCCCACCCGCCTGCTGCTGCTTACCCTCAGTGGTGGCAGCAGGTAAATATGGTGTTTGTTATCAATTTAAAAAAAAACCAAACTATTATTAGACAAGTGGCAGCACATTGCAAACAATGCACACTACAACTTTCAAATACTGCCTTTCCACGGCTATATTTCATATCAGAGAAAGGATTTCAAAGATTTGCCTTTTCTTAGCAACATCTTTGCCAGCCTGCCTCTTAGCAAGGACGGCTCTTCCTTAGATGCAAATCTCCTTACTTTAAATCTCTACTACAATAAAACAGCAATGATATACTTAATTACGTTTCTTTTAATACACTTAATTATGTTCCTATCTTCATTATTTTTCCCATCCCAATGGACATGTCCAAATTTTAAATACAGTACATGAAACTACAAGTAATTACCGCTATAGAGTCATTCCGAACAATTCACACCGAACTCAAATGAGGACTGAGCACTGGCACGGTCCTGAAGACAATTTTCCAGCTGCAGTAGCAGGGTATAATGATCTCTTACTGTTTATCTTTCCCCACTGCCTTTTAAGAAAAACTGCAGCAGAGCATCTGCAGCAATGTGGAAACTCAAGACTAATGAAAATGGGATTCAGTGGACTGTGGGATGTGTCATCACCTTGTTACATGGACTGTGATTGCTCAGCAGCAGAGGTCCCTTCCTGCCCATCGCCATTCACCGTCAGTACTGTGCTCCTGTTCCCTGTTCCTCTCCTAACTATGACCACGATCCCCAGACACCTTCTGGCAAATGACTCTTCTCACCCTCTTGTCCCAAATAGCCCACTAAGAGCAGGGCCTTTGTCAGCCCTTTGGCCCATCTCGCATAAACACCTTGTGTGCTTTCTTCCATATTATGCATGGAATACCACCCCTGAAATAATCCTCAAGGCCATTTTCCAGTCCTGGCTCAAATCCCTCCTCAAGAACCCATTTCATTGCAATGCTCAAGGGAAAATGTCAATTGATAAGGAGAGATAAGAAGTCAGGATGAACTTGTGATATCTAGCTAGAGGAGAGATACGAAATCAGGATGAAATTAATGATATCTAGCTTGTTTGCTCACATGTTCTGTCATGTGAAAGAAGCATGCTTGAACATGCCATGATCTTTCCTCTATAAAACCTAGAAATACACATCTCAGCAATCTGAAAGGATGTATTATCCTACAAGAACATATAACTTTGTTGAAAACTTCCTTTTTTATAAGAACAACAGCTGCAAAGAAATAACATGTGCATACTTGTATCTTCATGCTTAAACACTAAGCTGAAATGAATTTGTCACATCAGCAATAGTGTTAAAAAATCTTCTAATACTAGATTCCACTATTTCCAAATAGGAATGTTTTACTTTGAAAAATAATTACACACCAAGTCACATAATGAAAGGGTAGGTTAACTCCATAATATATGATATGTTCACTTCAGACTTATTTTCATCTCTTTTAATGACATGAGCTACAAAAAAACCCCAATCAGCTCCTTGTTCTGCATCATATGTACATTGTATTTGAGTACTGAGGTTCCTCTATCCAGTTCTATGCAAACAGACACATGGCACAGTTAAAAATATTTTATGAACTACTTCAACTGTTTAATGAGCTTAGTTGCACAAGTCTCTTCTCAAAGTTATAAAATACCAAGGATTTTAAGATGCACAACTGTATGTAATCTGATAACTAAAAATAGCATGCAACTTGTCTGACTACTGAGACACAAAACCCAAATACCTGTTTTTTTGCTCCTGCTGCAGTAGCTGAGCTGCTATTTTTCTCAAGTCAGTCACTTCCTTCAGTTCATCTTCTTCCTCTGCCAACAACTGTTCTTTCTGAAGCCTGAAAGATGAAACATTAGTTTAGATTAAAAATCTTGTTTTTGGCAGATCATGGAAATGCATGCACATTCTGTTACTTGCTTGTTTTAACTAAATGGAGATGTTACCTGACTGTAGTTGAAAAGTCCTTGCTAAAAGTTTTAACGTTTTCTCCCCAACCAAAATTATTTCTATGCATCATAGCACATCCATCTTACACGCAGAAGTTTGAAAAATACTCAGGAAAATAGGTCTTTAAGGCTGGCTTACCGTTTTTCATCCCCCCAGTCTTCATTCCGTTCTATTTTCTGAGATTTCTCAGGATGCTTTCCTTGTTCCTTATACAGAATGGAAATAATTAAGAGTTTAGATGTTAATGAATGAAATGTGCCATCTAGTTTTCTCCTCTTCTGAAGTTACAGTACCTTAATGTAAGAGATAAACGGTCCAATTTGTACATCTCCTTGTTCAGGAATAGCTGCATCTTCCGCATTAGGGTCAATATAATCATCCACCTCCTGGTCTAGTGATGATTGATGGAGATTGGAAAAGAGAATATTAAACAGTTCTCTCAATCTAATGTTACTCCTAAGAAAGAAAGGTACTTGTAACAAAGTCAAAAGATGATATGGTGAAATCTTGACTTTTGAATGTAGAAAGGATCTTCAAGACATGTATTTCTTTCTCATTGTGCATATGCTGACTTGATCTTTATCATTTTATTACAGGGATGTTTGAAATGATAAATGATGTTTGATATAGATGTACTACACCATCATGCGAGATTATGAAGTACTTAACTGAAATGATCTGTGCCCTGACCAAACAAGAATTTAAGCACATTACAACAACACACGTGCCACAGGCCTTACCTTTCTGTGAGTCGTGTTTATTTCCTATTAAATGATTGTCGTTTCTTAAAGTCTGTTCCCTTGTTGATTCTGATACCTGAGAGTGAAGGCTGATTGTATCATCATCAGATGGCTGCAAAAACAGTGACAACAGAAACATAACTTCCATGGTCATTACTTATTTCACTGCATGTTTTATTGATAAACCATAAACTACAGTAAGGAATCTGTCCTTAATGACCCTCAAATGAAAGAAGATTTAAGGAAAAAAAAGGCTAACAACCAATGCAACAAGTGCTCAAGTTGCTCTGTTTCATTTGCAAATCAGCATTTCTCATTCGCAGAACACTTGCAGCACAATGCTCCTGACAGAGTAAAATGTGCACCTGTGAAAGCAGCAGTTCCTGAAACACCCAACTATTTTTCCTGCCAAACGCTCACTTAGCATCACCCAGTTTTGAAAGCTGAGAGAATCACACTTCAAGTCTTCGTGACCACTTTCCTTCTTAGTTTTCTCTTGACACAACCCTATGATATTTCCATTTTCGTGAACAGTCTAATTATGGGGTCAGCACCTATGGGTCATAGGCTGGATCCAACCTACAAAGTGACTGGATCTGGCCCACTGGGGACAGGAATAGCTGCCATACATCGTGGAGGTGGCAGCAGGGGCTTGGGTGCTGCACAGGGGAGCAGTGGCCTGCAGTGGAAGCCTGCTGCTCTTAAAGGTTGCCAACCCCTGCTCAAGTCTCTTTTAACCTGGATTTTAAACATTTTAATAATCTTCATTAGTTCCATTTTCACAGTGTTCTTGTGTTTAATTGTAATACTGCTGTGACACAAACTACAGCTGGCTAAACTCAAGAAGTATACAGCTACATGAGCAGATTCTTGGAAAAAGTAGATGCTGCTGATCACTATACATCTAACACGTCAAACAGCATTTTCTACCAAATCTGAATTCAGAACACATTTTTTCAATATAAACATCCCTTTCATTAAAAATACATTATGCATCACTTCACTTTATTTGTTTTAATAAGCGAAAGCACATTTAAAACACAACCTTACATGCTGTGTCTAAACATGTGGTCAAAACAAACCACATTTGACTGAATGTAACTGCAACAGCCCTTTCATTTATTTAAGCTTTCCTAAACATTACACAGCAAGTCTGTAGAATCTGAAGGAAAAAATAAAACTTCTTAAAACAAAGAAGTTTAAATAAGCAGTACAAGAAAACTCACTTCGGTGGTAGACAGTCTTTTATCTCCATTATCACTGCCAATGCCAGAGTCAGGACCATGGTTTTTATTGGGGTAAAAGTCTTCCATGCTATAAGAAGGAAAAAGGCAAACACAAAGTAAAATTTAACTTTTCTACATGAGAAGTGAAAAGGAAAACACTATTTTCCAAGCTGCGACAGGCGTGACTATGGACCTTCTCAGACTGCTAAAAAACTATTTTAAAAGAAGATTAAGATTCAAAAGATCAGCCTGCAAGGTGGCCAACCTGTGCCACGGGCAGCCTGTGCGTGGCACGCGGCAGACTGCGGAGGGGACAGCACGGCAGCAGACGGGGCAAGGAGCAGAAGACAGAGCCACAGATCATGCAGGGAGCAGAGGGCAGGAAGTGGAAAGCAGAGCAAGGGACTGGGCAGGGAAGATCAGAATGGCACTCGGGGCACACTCCCCAACAAGGTTGGCCCCCACTGGATTAGCTTATCTTGTTCAGTTTCTTGTAAACTCAGACCACTTCTCACAGTCCACCCAAGTACTATGTCCGGGAGCAGTGTTAAATACCAGCTGCATCACTTCCTTTGAGAAACTACAACGCGTTAAAACTTCACCCAGAGTTGTGGCTTCCTAACTAGTATCAAGCCTGCCTTCTGGTCGAATGCTGTCATCTCACTACCCCTTGCTAGCCCTGTCTGGATAGCTACTCAGGGCCCTGCTCAGAAATTAAACGTTCCAGAAATTCCAGCACAAGGAAAACCTTTTACCTTTGGTTCAGCACTGACTACTGACAAACCTAAGGGTTGTGAATGCAGCTTTAAATGTATTGCCAAGAATACAACAATGCTGTATAGAATATTTGGTGTCCTAAAGCAAGACAGACTGAAAGTCCAAGCAGAAGGAAGTATATTTATTTGCTTATTTCAAAAAGGTCATCTATGAAAAAAGTCAAGTAAAATATGCCAAGTTTCTGACTTCAGGAGAACTCAAGGCAAAAAAGCCCAAATTGTTTTAAGCTTTGTAGGGTACAGTTCAACTTATTGTTTCTTCAAATATATAAGGCTGTCTCGTGGTTAGGAGGCAGGCTTTCTTGCTAACAAACTGTTCCACTCTGAGCAAGTTCAGGGAAATATAACCGTAATGCCATAGTGTACTGCAGAAGCCCTAAAGAAAAAAAAGTGACCTGCTTCAATGAACACATTCAAAATAAGACTTCAGTCTAATTTCTGATATACTACATTAAATCTGCAGTGAGAATAATCATAATTTGCTTTGTAATAAGAGTTGAAACAGAGAAAGAGAGAAAAAAAACAAGCTAGTCCACTAGTAAAATTGGACAGACTTTCTGTGGCAGTGCTTCTCCAGCATCCTACACATTAGGGCTGTGTGAAATTTCGCCAAGTATTTCGTTTCGAAGCTCGAAACAGCAACATTGAAACAAAACAAAAAGCTTCGAAATTAAATGAGGGCACTCGAAACATTTCAAGTTTCAAAGCAGGTGGCAGGAGGCAGGGGAGAACCAGGGCTGTGCTCCGAGTGGCTCCGCACCCCATGGAGCTCAGCCCGGTGGTGGGAGGTGGACAGAGCCAGGGCCAAACTCCATGGAGCCCGGCGCTCGGTGCGAGCTGTGCTGGTTCCAGGCGGCAGCAGCAGGCTCCTGTCGTCCAGCACAGATCCAGGGGCCCGCACCCCCCGGGGAGGAGTCCGGCACAGCCCCGCAGCCCTCCCGGGGCTGCAGGCCCCTGGATCTGCGTGCCGGATGACAGGAGGCTGCCGCTGCCAGCAAGCGTCACCGAGTTTTGCTTTCAGGACTTTGAGGTGCAGTTTTCCAAGAAACCCCTGCACCTACCTACTTGAAACTTGGCAGGCTTCATGCCCTCAGAAGGGGCTACCATCCCTGCAACTTGGATCTGAACGAGACAACAAATGACAATGATTTAGGAATTTTCATGATGTCCCATTATAGCCTATGAGCGAAACACCGAAACGCGTCAAAACAGCAAAACAGTTTTGACTAAACGAAACGGGACAGTGCTTTGAAATGAAACGACAAAATGAAACACCGTCTCTTTGAAATGGCAAAACGGATGTCGAAACAAAACGGTGTTTCGCACAGCCCTGCTAAACATTGAATTCAAAGCAAAAATGAAGAAAGGAAAATACCTGTCTGTCAGTGGCTGGGAGGGGATTCGTTTTCCCAATGATGGAAGATCCAAAGAATCTGGTTTTTTATCTATTCTGAGGCATGCCTGAATGCTGAGGAATTTAAATATGTGTACTTTGCCCTTTAAACATATCTGTTAGGAAACACACAAAAAAATTTATTTAGCTGCATGATATATTTACAATACCACGTACCAACAAATACCTTTTATATCTAAGGGATTTCCGCCTTCCACCCACCCAATAAAAATGCAGCTCTGGTAGCTCATTAGTCAAGCTATGAAAAAATCTTACTGCCTAAAAGCCCAAGACAGACAGAGCTGCTATGCAGGCAAACGCAAGTGCCAGTCTCTTGCCTGCAGCAGAAGGCTGCAGCTGATCTGAGTGACAACAGGAGAGAAGCATTTAAACCATCTACGTGAGGAGAGGGTGGCAGAACAGATGAACACGTTGAATGAGAGAGGAACAAAGGGAAACACAATGTCTCTGTGAAATACGGAGAAAAGGATGATGCGTTTGGACAGGCCTAATAACACGGCCTAGTAACGTCAGGGCAGACAAAAGCAAGTGTAAAGATGGAAAGAGCTTGCAGCAATAGGGAAGCGGAAAGATGACGGGGGATCCTGTGGGAAAAAGGAAGCTGATCCTAATGCTGGCAGCTGCAGTTTTTCTCCTGGGCTGCACCACTGGAAGTTCACAATACCTTATCAGTTTGCCATGCAATGTAGCAGTTTCTTCTTCCTTTCCAAAATTTGATTTCTATATTTTGAAGGCCAGAATGGAACATTTTGATCACCCAGTCAGACCATGGACACAACATAGGGCAGAGAAGTGACCCGATGCTGAACTTCAGCAACTTGCACAGGAATTGGGGGTGATTGGGCAGGTCCTATGTGCTTCCTGACAGCTACAGTAAAGGGCTAGATGAAGGACAAGCTACAAAACAAAACGTCTGAGCAAGGATCATGGGTCAAGAAACATTCTTGGATGTTTTATATGACTGATGGCTGGTAATGAACCAAGCACGCCTTCCCCTTCTTTTAAATCTATGGTTAGCCAAGGAACCAGAAGGGTTTTATACTAACCTGTGCTGGTGGTATCTGCATTGGATTGTTATCCAGAATTATTACTTGTAAATGGCGTAATTTCCTGTAACAAACTGGGATCTCTGTAACTTTATTACAAGAAAAATCCAGCTTTACCAAGGGGAGGTCTCCCAATTCTGTAAGGGGGGAAAGAAAACAGAATTAGACATCCTAATGCTTTGTGTAACGGACTTAAATCAGCGAGAGGAGAAAGAGAAGCTTACCATCTGGCAACATATGGAGATTATTTCTTCTTATGTTTAACTCTCTGAGTGACTGCAATTTTCCTATTTGCTGGGGAAGGACCTGAATCTCATTACAGCTAACATCCTAAGCAAAAGATAAGGCGTCAGTGAGTTGAACAATAGCTTGACTGAAATTGAACAAAGGAAATGTTACAAAGAAAGCTAGCACAGACATTATTTTCCCTTTTTCAAACAAAGACAGCTGTAACCTAAGTCTTAGGGCTTCCTCCTCAACCTACAGTAACATCTAGTAGTATGAGCGCCCAGGCAAGAGACCTAAACCCGTGGACAAGTGACATTAACTTTGAGGCTAATGCACTGGACTGCTGATCAGAAGATGCACCTGTTCCCATCTCTGCCAAAGATTTCTTATGCAAGCAAGTCATTTATGTTCTGTTTCCTCTGTAAAATGGGGATAATAATCCTTCTCCTTCACTATGTTACATGACCAAACCACTACTGGATCCAAAGCATGAGCTTCTACTCCCCAAAGTAAAATACCCCAGCCTGTTATCAATAAGGTGTAGCAATCTCTGAACGAGCACATGAAACAGTAGAGTTACCCCAGGTGTTGCAAGATTGCTTCTAACCTTTGCTAATGTACTGAACCTGGAAATGACCTCAGATACATGCACAAAAATGCAAGTTTCCAACCTGTTTTAATCTCAGTTCAATAAAGGAGACTTAGTTTGCCAGGTGTGATTTGTGTATGCTATGACAACATTTAGATGACTGCCTACCCAACATACAGGTGAAGAATCAAAGCTTGGTTTTAAAGCTTAGGTCCTTAGAGGCACATTCAGCTTTCCTCTTCAATAAGGAAATCCGTAAGCTTCAGAATCAGTCCAACTCCCCGGTGCTGACAGGGACGGGGCAACCCCAGTCCTGCACAGAGCTGGATGCCTGGGAAGCTGCAGGGTTGTCTCCTGCACAGATACTCTCATTCACTATTTCACCGCTCCCTAGCTCAGGACAGGATTCCTTCTATCAGCATGGTTCTCCAGCATCCATCTGGGCATTTGCGTTGCCTACCAGCCTTAAAAGTGTAAAATGACTGTTGACCCATTTTCAATACGGGTGTAGACATAACACAATAGTTTCCCTACTTCTATTCTGGGTGCATGAGAAAAGAAGAAATTTAAAATTCATTCATACTATCGCAATCTACTTCCAAGTTAAACAACTCCTATTTGTATTCGCCTCCAAAAAATGAATCAAAGGTAAACAGGCTGAATTATTTCTGAAGTGTGCATATCTATGACAAAAGCAGTCAGAACTCTAGTGGTAGAGGTGATATCTTTTATTAGACCAACTAGGTAGTTGCAAAAATATTTTTATATTTGCAACTTCCGGGCTCACATGCCCTTCCTCAGGCAAAGAAGAATAGTAAAATGTCTCCCGGGTAGAAATAAAACTTCATACTGCACAGGGGAACTGGAGAATGGTATTAGTTATCCTGGGTGGGAAAGTTCAATTTATGCAAATTAGGCTCGAATAAAAGTTGGAGCAGTCTATTTGCCCAAAAGTGTCTGATGGCAAGCAGGAGGTTGAATTTTGTTAACAAGAAAAGAAGCAAAAAAGCAAAATTCAAGATCCTGCTTGCCATCAGACACCTTCTAATAAAAGATATCGCCGCCCCTGTCACAAGAGTTTTGACTGCTTTTGCCTTTAGACCAACACGGCTGCAACCTATATCCCCGAGACATGTCTACGACAGAAATGGGACACTGGTTGGTTGCAACGTCCAATTAGCAACACCCCTAAGAACTGACGAGACACCCACCGTCCCCCGGTTCTCATTACTGCTGGAGTTAGTGCAGGCACGTTTCGTTCTGGGCGCAGCAGCTGTTGCCAGACTGCAAAAACTAATCTTTACTTAACACCAGACTGCCTCCTTACGTGCAATTACTGCTTGTTTGGCTTTCACAGATTAACTTTATAGCAACACATACGAAGTTCTGAAGAGCAAAAACAGTCATCCCATTTTCATCTGTAAATATTTCTGAATCAAGGGACTTCAACCAGGGGAGAGGACAGTAGGTAAACAAATTATAGAAATGTCAAACATATTCTAACAAGGATCTTTTAAATATGCAGGCTAACTGACTGACAATGTTTCTTTACCCCTGCAGAAAGAAGACTTCCAGGTGAAAGACATTTAGAAAAGGAATGTGATAAATAATGGCCATTAAGTTCACTAATATATTGCACAAGGGGTATAAACATTGTCTTTGGAGCAGGATGAGCTGTGCTGGGATGTCCCCTGACACAGCCCATCTGCTTACTGGTGTCTATAGACATCTTTTGGAGCCGCTGTCCCATGGGGCTGGGCTCCTGCCCCTCTCAGGGCTTTGGGAGCCCAATCCTGCAGAACAACAGCCCCAGGTGCCACGTCCCAAACTGGGGTGTGTCTGCAAGTGGGGGACCCCCATAGTTCTGCAGGCCATGAGCATCCCCTCCCATTTACAGCATCACAAACTGTAACCACTTCTGGTTGCAGCAACATTTTTGGGCACTTGGAGCGAGACAAAGGGCTAGAAAATCTGTTCGCAATTTGTGCTTCCGTCAACATTTTTACGGGGGCACAAGGGTGACATCTGTTTGCACGCAAAGGAGAATCTCTCAGAGAGATATTCTTTAAATCAGATGTTAGATTACAACATATTGTTTTACAGGGGAGGGTTTAGTGTTCTAGACTGATGACACAATTGAGCAAACTTGTTTCATTTGCATATGGACTATGGCAAAAAAAATTAGTACAACTTCAAAATTGTGCATGCTTCATAATTTCCCAATTACAACAAACTGAACATTTATGTAAGGTCAGTCATGCTAATAAGAACAAGTTTAATTACATATTTCAAGATGCTCTATAATGTAAATGTTTAACACAAATATACTCACCAACTCCATTAGGTCTCTCAATTTTCCAATTTCTTCTGGAATGGAAACTAGCTTATTATTACTAACAACCAACACCTTAAGGGGCAGGTCAAACAGGTATTTTGGCAATGTTGATAAAAGATTTCGACTAGGAGAAAAAAAGAGAGGAGGAGGAAAAAGAAGAAGAAATGTTATATGCCTCTGACACTTTACGTTGAGTTTGAGATTCTTAATATAAAAAAAAAATCCTTTTTTCTTTCTATCAGTTATAATAATTTATCTATTACATAGTCATACACCTAAATCCAATTGTAAGCTATATTTTCTAGCGTAAATCGTTTGCCAGATCCCCGTAGTCAAATAAATGTCATGTCCCCATCCAATCTGAATAAATGATATTCTACTGTAATAGTTTAGAGCCGCCCATCTTCCATCAATAAAATGGGGAACTAGATGCTGATTTAAACCCCTTTCCCGACCTCCAAGCATCATCGAGTGAAAGGGACTAGAAACAAAATGAAAAATACAAAAACCTACTGACTTATTAGACGAGAATTTTAGCTGTACAAAAATACAAACCATGCTGAAACAAGCATTCGTGAAGTTCTGGGTAATGACACCCAGGAACATTTCCTTTGTTTGGCACAGCCGATCGATGGAGAGATGCAGCGAACCCTGTACTATGTGGCTGAAAGGTACGTTTTAATTAATGCTGACTTGTATATCATGGGCCTCAGTAACCACCCTGCACAACAGAAGCATGCTACACTAACAAGAAAGATGTCCCTATTCATGCTGTCATTGCACTCTTCCAGCTACAGGTCGCCTCTTGTCACAGGTATATACAAAAATACATTTCCTAGTAAAATACCTGTGCTAGACAAGACATGTGTTTTGAAAAGCAAACTGTTCAGCTAGAGTAACGAATCAATCACTGTCAGGCATAAAGGGGAAGCCGTGGCAGTTTTCAACGGTTTAAAAAGAGAGCTGTCAAAAGTACAGAAATTCTGCTTTGAGGCCATTCTAGAGGGCTTCAAAATTCTTTCAGTTCCTTATTGGAACAAAACCAAAAGTTTCAATCACTTGCATGAAGTTGAAATACATCAAAACAGAACAACTGAATGTTTTAATTCTGTTTCTCCATGACCACAGTGCACAGGACCGCAGAAACCTTCACCAAAACTTTGTCAGAAGCAATGTCATCTACAAATGCTTCTTTTCCATGATACATGGGGTAATTTGGGGAAAAAAGTAAATTTAATTAAAAATCTTGTGACAAATGTATTGTAAACAGATTTGCAAATACAGACTGAAACTTCAGAGATGTTGGATACCTGGGCCCTGTAGAAGCTCTGTACTTTTCCTACAATTTCCCACACCTATCCTCAGGGGGCTTGGGGGTCGTGGCTGGAAGAAAGAATAATGGTGCAGCATCTATCTTAAATGCCTAGTTGGTCAGGTTACCCAGTACGTACAAAAAAGAAAGGTAACTCAACTGGCCATTAGACCATTTAGTGGCTGCAATAACACGCAGGGCTCAGTTGCAGAGAAATTAGCATCCAGTTCTATTTCTGTTTCGGGAAATACATTCTGCATCTTTCATACCCAAAACAAGAGGGGAATTGTTTTTCTGAGGTTTTGCGCAGGAAAGAGCATGAGATTTGTTTAGAAAAAAACACTGTAGGGCTTTCATTACTGGTGCTTTTAAAACTCTCCACAGAGCACACCATTCATAAACTGAAAGTTTTCCAGCCCATAAATTCTTTAACATTCAATTCCTATCTCAAGGTGGGTCGTGTGCAGTACATCTCCGAGAGCTTTTTGAAATAAACTTCATCTGAGGTCTTTAGATAAGAAGAACAAGAAGTAGAAAAAGTACATTGGAGGTTTCAAGACCCAAGTCACCATATCTCAACCAAGTCATCTCAAATTGGGTCATAAAACCCATATGCAGAATTTACAACGGAGAAAATAATTTTAGAATATTTTAGGCAACCGAGGACCATAATGGAGGCAGGTTGTGCAAGGCCAGGTCTCAACTATGTATGGGGGTCTTAGTTTTCCTTTCACACACATCCTCCACCTGCCTACCTCCGCAGCACAGGACAGCGTACCCATCTTTCCTGGAAAGCTGATGCTTATTTCTCGTTCCTCCTCTCAGATGATGTGGCTAATTGTTTTCAGCGCTGCAGGCACATCTATCATCGTTTGTTTGTATGACAAGCAAGTTGAACCTATTGTGCAGAACGAGCCAGTCTCTACAGCCTAAGAAAAGTTACTACTCCAAAAAAAGGAAGGAGCAAGAGCAATGGACGGTAGGCTATCACCAGCTGTGGGGGTCTAGTGTTGAGATACAGGACAAGGGGAGAAAAGGTTACTCACCTAATGTTAAGATACGTTAACATCTGTAGATTTTTAATAGCTTCGGGAATGGATTTGATGCAATTGTGATACAAATTTAATGTCTCGAGTGGTGCGAACAGCCATACATCAGGAGGAATTTCCGTGAATCTATTTTTTGATAGGTCTGTGGGAAAGAAAAGAAATTTCTTAAGGTCAAAAATTTACCCAAGACCAGAGAAATGCAGAGGACCGAGAGGCTAATGGAGAAAAATGATCATAAAAAAGATGTTGATGATTAACATAATCAGATTAAAACCTTGAATAAAAAAAAGGTTAACCGTTGTACCTTTCACCATTTTTACCCTTTGCTTAAAAAAGGAACCAGAATCTAAACTAACGCCACCACCTATTCCCTGTAACATTAAAAATGTTCAACAAGTATCAATCATGATTTTCAATTCTCTTTCTCTCTGTCTTTAATCTACAGGACTCCCTCTCATCTTTCTCCCATGCTAGGCACAACAAGACAACACATAACAATAAGATACAAACTCGGAGACAACTACGGTCCTTTGGATCAGCATTTGCCTTTGGAAGCGTCTAATTTTCTTTAACGTCAATATTTATTCTTGCAACCAACCCAAAAATAATTTAATATTCAAGCAAAATCTATTCAGCTAATTAAACTACAAAAGAGCAAAGAATGGGCAAAATCCACACGTGTCTATTTTAAGAAAATTTATCCCAACCATGCAACTGGTCCAATAACATCTATCAGCTACAAAAATCCTTGCTTCACATCATTCCTGGACCACTGTGGCTACAACATCACTCCAAAACTGCCACCTTTGTTACCACGAATGCAGGCAATTTCTGCTTTCCCAATTATGCAGATGGCCCAGGGACTTCCCACGTACGCTGCTGCCAAGGCAACGTTAAAAATCAGTTAAAAAAAAACTTCCGATGACTCCTCTCAAAATCCACCCTAGACAGCCACGTGCCGGGAAGTTCTGCACATCGCCCCACTGTAGGATAGAGAGAAAACAGCAGCCCCTCCCTGGGAAACATTACTCAGCATTGCCACAAACCTAGCATGATCTCCATACAACACACTGGCAAGAAGGAAGACCGTCGGTCACCTGTTTGACATTCTCATACTGTACTGAAAAAACTGAACACTGCTTTTAACATTGAACCCCAAACCATAAAAAGTCTTCTGGCAAACTGAAGCCAGACTGTGTTAAGTGGGACTGCACAGTGAATTAGTATTTGCAGCTGCCATTCGGAAAATAAACTGGATGAATACTGTGAAACAATGGCTTCCAGGGACATTGATTTTGAAACCCTGCTTCCTAAAGTCTAAGACAGGAAACTTGAGTGAACAACTACTTACCACCAAAAATAAATGGAGGAAGTTACTGATAGTTTTAGCAAAGCTTTTGCACATAAGAAAAATACTCAAGTGTAACTGCTAAAAATCCTTCTGTGACGATCAATGTGGCCAAGTAAGGAGCACTCCTCGGTGTTGGGCCCCAGAGGCTATAACAAGCATCTGCTCCGCTAGCCAAAGGACCTTGTTGTTGGAGAAAGGGGAGGAGAAATATTTATCATCAGTTAACTCCTTTAACTGCATATAGGGAGTTAACTGAAATAAACTAGCTGGGTAGACTTGTTAAATAAAGCCTTTCAGAGAATTTGGCTTTCTGTCCTTTCTGCTTCAGGACTGCAGAAAGTTCTGGAAAAATATACGTCAGAAAAGTTGCCCTGTTCCTTTTTGACGTTGCTAAGACCAATACCTTTTAAAACACGATTTCTGTGCAGGGTGCGGTAGATGGGTTCAAAGCACAGGGGGCTACAGGTCCATTTCCAACAGTCCCAAAGCACCGAGGATGGGATGTCTAGGCACTGGTAGAAAATTGAAGACTACTCCAAATAAATGCAACCAGGCTGTTCTGCAACAGGAGACAAAGGGAGGACCTTCTTTTGTGGAAGAGCCTGAACCTGCTTGCCATGGACAAAGCAATGTTCAGGCTCCTCCTTCGGAAAGCAGCCACCCTCGCCTGAACCCTCAGCTCTTTTGTGATGGAAAGCCTAAAGTTTAGAGAGTCCGCGAAGACCCAAAATGCTGGAAACCGGAAGCCTGAAGGGCAGGGCGTCGAACATCCAGCCTGCGGAGCCCCGTCATCCGGCCCGTGCTGCCTTGGGTCTGATCAGATACACATGGGGTCCGTGCACGGCCCTGGTGTGGAGCTTGCCCTGGGATGCATGCCACGCCAGCTGGTCCGGGACCCCCCCGGGCTACAGGGCTCTACCCAGAACAAAATGTACCTGTGGGATACAACGCCACTTTTCCCTGCTAAGATTCTCTGTCCCCGACACCTTCTCGCACGCGCTCCTTTCCCTCCCATCAGGAATCTCATTACTTTTCAAAGATAAGTCCCTTTTGTTCCCGTTAAACGTCCTCCCACTTACTTTGCTCTGCCTGATCTCAGTCATTTTTTTTCTCCATTTGACCCAGTTTCTGCATTTTTAGGGCTCTTCACCCTCACCAGCTGCATTTCCATGAAAAAAGTTGTTTCTCATCCCCCACATGAATCTTGCAGACAAACCAGACTGCTAAAACAAAGTTATATTTGCTTTAACCAGATGTTAGTATAATATGACCAGTCAGAAGCCCAAATGTCATTTTTGTACTGCAGGTTTCTGAACAGAGACACTAGATCAGAGCCGTGGAAGTGCATAAATACATTTAGCCACCAGTGTCTAGGCAGGTCTATTTGTGGTATCTGTCCAGAGGAGGGTATGCTGTCAAAATACATGTACTGCACAAGGAGATAAGCTTCACTACACACTTTTTTCAGGAAATTTATCATACAGTTTGCAGACAGCTGTTTTCTGTTTTGTCTTCTGGAAAGCACCTCGAACCTCAAATTCCAGGGAAACTGAAAGAAAAGACTTTTATAGTCAATCTTGATGGAAAACAAAGCTTTATAACAGGGGATGAAACACAGAACATGCCCTTACTGGCTTCAGCCTTTTGGGCTCCTCGGCTATCAGTCGCATAGTTTCAATACGGTGCAGTCTCATGCGGTCTGGGTAAGAACTGTCCAAACCCACAAAGTTACCTTCCTTCTCTGAAATGCACCACTTCGTGCTACTTCATCAGAAAATGTGCAGCTGGGCAACACCTGGACCCTGCACTTGAGTCAGCTTGTAAAATAAAAACAACTGCCTTGCCTACAGTCAGCAGGGAAAATGTCTGCGTTGGGGAACCCACATCGGGCTAAAAAGAAACAGACCTTGAAATCCCCCACTATAAGCTGCTGCGTGCGTGCCCTATAAAAAAGGCATTTCCTGTGCAGTCTAGTTTAGCCATTTGAAGGGAGAATTTTCTCAGGGCTGTGCCAGGCACTGCAAAAACACTTAATATTCTCAATGAACAAAGATACCGTATTTACCCAAATCCAAAATGACATTGAATACAAGGCAACCCTCCCAATAATTAGCTTCTATACATGTCTATTCTGTTCCACGTACAAAACCTATTCATTGGAGGGTCATCTTCAATTTGTACCGCTCCACCACCGCAGCAGAGAAAGGTGTTAAACTTAACACAGGTTTGCAAAACTAGTATGAAACTGCCAATGCCAGTGTAAAACCAAAGAAATCTCTGACGTGGTAACGCACTGCATTTAAGCTACTGCTAATCTTGTGTGTACTGGACATTCATAAAGCACACAAGAGTGAGAGTAAAATGCATTAAATGTCCTGGAGTATTTTCAGTTTATAGAGCCTGTCAAATGTGCCACAGACTTGGCTACAGATCTCACACCAAAGCATAACCCCAATCCTTAGCAAACTGTTTTACAGGGCTCGGGACCAGAGTATGTTTTAGCCACTCAGCTCCACGCAGGAGAACCGGGTGAAATGCAATGGACTGTTGCACCCAGGAGGTCAGCTCTGATGGCCTGATTGTTACTGGCCTTGAGACTGAGTATAATCTCTCTCTCTCTCTCTCTTTTAAACTCCTGAAAATTATTCCAAAGCATAAAAGCCTTCAACCGACACCTCAGATCACAGAAATATTAAAAAACATAGAGCCATGACACTGCATCAATATGTTTCTCCACGTACTTGCAAGAGGCACCTTTTTATGTGGAATAAAAATGGCATCCTAAAATATCAAAATCTAATTACATTTTACACAGCACATTAAGTCAGGTGGTAGCAGAACAGCATTCAATCGATTACGTGCTAGGAAATACTGCACTCGTTATGCACAATCTAAAATACGCGCTGAAATTACAAGCCCTAGCAATTATTCTGTTGTCATTTGGAGTCACAGGTTCGATCTCTCTCTTGCCCTCCTCTCAGACACTGGACCAAATGCCCCCTCCTAATTATTCTCTTTGCGGGATTTTAGAGTCCCAACAACAAACACTGGATCTGCACGTTCGTGGACCGAGCTCCAGTAGCGAGAACCCATAGTGCAGACATGGCCGAGACATTTTATTGCTGTTTTGTTTAGTCCTATAGTTAACAATACTTTTGCTGCACAAGAGTTTTCATGCAACAGAAATAAGGCACAGATGCACAAAGGTATTTAGGTGCCTAGATGCTTTTGCTTAGACTCTGGGCAGCAAAAATGAAGGTTGAAAGCAACCGGACAACAGACACTTAGTTCCTGGAACTTAATCAAGGAAAAGGGGCTGGAAAGGGGTAAGGAAGGGAGCTAAGCAAGCACAGATATGATCTCTATATCTGAAATGAGCAGGCTGACCCATAACTAAAGGTAGCATACGTTTACCTCACCCAGTTTGGTACTGAACTGCTGACCGGTGCACATCAGTGGTCAAATTCTGCACGTGCCAGCCCCAAGTAAAAAACTCTTCCCTCCCCTCAACTGTTCTCCTTTGCTACTGGGTCACATCCACTTCACTAATCCCTGTCAGTGTTTTGGAAATCCAGGTGCGCTGTGATGTAAAACACAACCAGCATTTACACACACAAAAAAAAGAAAATCTTTCCAAACAGAAGATTGTGTGCCCAGTAAATAAAAGGAACCTGGCCCATAACCTTCTACGAAGCAATCCTGAGTCTTTCTGATCTGTTTTTATAAAGGGAAAGGCAGGGATGAACATACCCTAGGGCACAGGTATCAAATGTTCGGCAGCTCCATCC